AGAAACGATTCAGTTACTGCATAAGTCACTTCCTGGTCGTGTAATTTCCCGTATTGGCCGCCCAGAACATGCGATTTGTGCTAACAAGCCCACTACCAGTCGCGCCTTGAAGGAGGAAATTGAGTTCTGTATTAACGAAATTCAGCCTCATTTATGCAAAACGGCCATGGAAAATCTCGACAGAAGAGTGGAGCAAAGCCGTAGAGACAATTTACCCGATTCCATACATAACCTTATAGTGTATACTTTATGGATCAATAAAAAAATTACAATTTTTAATTAAAAACCTGCGTTTTCTATCAAAATTACTCCCTGCTTGACATTTATTGCCGATCATACACATGGATAACGTAAAGAAATAAGTAAAGAATTTTGAATAGAAATTGTAAACAGTTTATATCTCAGATGAAATCAATAATAAAATAGGCCCAATTCTGAAGAATTACTTTATTCGTATTAGTTATTTTCAAATAATAACGATAAAATAACAAGGAGTGACACCCCTACGTCTAGTTCTAACATTCCTCAACATATAGTGCTAATGATATTCCAAACGTCATTAATGGAGTTTGTTCAGGATTAGAGACAACATTTCTATTTTATAATTTTTCGGATTAGATATGCATAATTATACATATTAAAAAATTATATACACTTAAAAAATGTCTGCAGACATTGTAATGTGTAATTACATAAATTTATATAAAAATTACTATAAAGAATATCAAGAAAGATATATTAAATTAGAAACTTTGTAAATCTTACTAAATTGGCAGTTCTTTTTGAAACTCTGCAAAAGCTTTAAATTCTCTTTCGTTATAGTATTTTGCAAATTTCTTTAAATAAAGCAATTGATTCTTTGTAGCAAAGTTACTTGTTCTACATGTACAAATATTTTAGTTCCGTTGCGTTTCTTTTTCTATTTTATGATCCAGTAAAACTGTGTAATTTTGGTACATATTTATATTATCCTCTAATATCCAAAAATAATGCTTCTATTATTTGCTTGAAACTTCAGTATACCTACTATATAAGACAGTTCAATTAGTTTATCTAGGTATAAAGAATGGTTTAGTTAGGATTGTTTACTTTTTTCCTAAGCAATCAAAGTGAGGGCCCAATATATAGATGTATAGAGTAAATTAACATTTTGGGATACTAATGAAGAAAGATAGATTCGTGTAGGATGTTTAAAAAATTAAATAGACGCATACATACTTATAACAGTACTATTTGTTAGAACATTACGTGAGGCACAACTCACAGTCAGTTGTGCACTCATGTCCACTGAAATCAAACAATTTTTAAACATACGGCAATGATTTGTTATGTTATGCTCACATGAGCGTACTGTCGACCGACAGTGGTATACATTTGGATTTGATTTGGACGCACGACACACTAGTTTAAGCTTTGGTTTGTTAGAGCTGTGCGTCGCAGACGACATACGCGGTTAGCAGAATCTGTAGCATTCAACTTCATCCATTTTGAAGGGGCGCGTTTTGTTAGATTTAGTGCTTGTGATTGTATGCTGGTAAGTGCAGACGAAAATATTTATTATTATTTTGGCAAAATTTATTTTTATCATGACAATGGCTGAACATTTATTTTTTTACTGACAATACTTGTGGAAGAAGAACATGAAGAAGATCTTTTGAATTTAATTAGTCGTCGTCAAAATAAAAGTGAAAGTCGAATGTTTTTTAGCAGACGTTTGGAAGGGGCTTATAAGTTAACAACAGAAAAAACACTTTTACTTTTAACGATATACAATGGGGGAAGTTCTCGTATTAGATCGATTATTTTTTTTACTTCCTCTGGTGAAAACTTACTTGCCATTTTAAAATTCATTAAAAATAAGCGTTTTTTTAGCACTGTACGCTGTGAGCTCAGCTGAAGGATTGCGTTGAAATAACATTGAATTTGATTTCGACTTAACCGACGACGCACATAATTTTCGACTTACCATGAATCCATCTGAGCAGAATCTAACAAACCGGCTACGCATCTTCATGTGTTCTAGATTCCAACATAAGACCGACGCGCACAACTGACTGTCTGCTTTGCGTCGCCTACAACAGCTCTAACATACCATAGCTTTAAGTTTTAAATGAACTCACGGCTTGTAGAAGCTCTATCACTACAATTTATCCACTACAACACAAAGATGTCTGGAAGTATGAAACAGATTTCTGGAAAGTTGAAAATGTTCCCGAAATGTAGGCTGTTGGGAAATATTTTTATGTTTTATTTTACCGACTAGAAGCAGAATTAGTAACGTTTCTTCTTCTTCTTCACGTCGCGTACTGTTCTAACAAATTGTAGCAAGGTGGATAAATATAAATCACCGAAGTAACCGAATAGAAGAACAAAATATGTATATCTAGTTAATTTGATGTTTTGTTGTTTACGGAAAAACATAATTGATTAGCCAGAATAAATAAAATAAATTATGCATCTAATTAAATTAAAAACTCACACACACCGAGAGTTAAACATATAAACCTAACCTCTTTATATAAGCAGCTGTTGTTATTTTTGATAATAATTCTACTACGTGTTGGCTACTTTTCAAAAACTATTGAATTGATGCCAGACTATCGTATTACTTAATATTTCATTTGTTATCAGCCGTGAGATGTTTATTATAATAACTGGTTTCCAGATTCATTTTAGTTGCTTAGCAACTAATAGAGATGGTCACGGTATTGACAGACAATCATTATCTTTGTTGACACTACATTTATAGGACCTTTTTTGGTCAAATCTCCCATAATAAAGCCTATACCACTTTAATCATGTAAAAACATTATTATTAAATATATATACAGGGTGTCCCAGAGCTATCTTGACAGGCATTATCTCGGAAACTAGTCGAGATAGAAAGAAATGTTATATGTCGAAAAGGGTTTCTGCATAAAAAGATGTGTTTAACCATTTTATTTTATTTTCTAATATATAGAGCGCCCCAAAAAGATGGTATATTGCCGAACTTCAATTTTTTAAATGGAACACCCTGTATATTTTTAAGTTTTTTGGTTCTCCTTTTATTTCTGAATATATTTGATTAACCATGTTCTATACCTATCATTAACCGTTTACAATATATGAACAGTTTCAGGCCTTTTCCATACTCTTAAATAAATACGATAAAGTAGGTGTTGGCTACACGTCAAAAATTCTTCAATGTAGCTTTTTGGCAGTTTCATTGACAGTAATTAAATTTCAAACTCTCCATTTAATTTTCAAATAAGTATTACATATGCCATTAATTTTTACACCAAATGAATATGTTGATATGTTACTTATTTATGGCGAGTGTCGAAAGAATTTCAGAACCGCGGAACAATTGTATAGGGAAAGATTTCCTAATAGACATATGCCATTTAGAGAAACATTTTCTAATGTAGAGCAAAAATTGCGTACTGGCTCATTTCCAAACCCTAGAGAAGTTCAGCATGTACTTTTGGCAAGAGACGAACAAAATACTATCAATATTCTTGCATTTATAGCAGTCAATCCACATGCGTCTGCTCGTAATATTGCGGAAGAGATTGATATAAGCAAATCTTCGGTTCACCGAATTCTAGAAAATAATAGACACCATTCTTACAAATTATCTTTGGTTCAAAATTTAAGACCTAATTATTGCAATAGACGTCTGGAGTATATTGCCTACGTTATGGTTCAGTTACATGAGACCCTCAGTTCCCCCATAAAATTATGTGGACCGATGAAGCACATTTTCACAATAATGGTATGGGTTAATCGGCATAATAGTCATTACTGGTCTGTCGAAAATCTCCACTGGGTCAGAGAAACCCATTTTCAATCCATTTGGGGAAGTAATGTGTGGTGCGGCTTATTTAATGGACGATTAATGATTAATTGGACCATACTTTTATCAAGGTACTCTGACTGGTGATAGATATTTGTCCTTTTTAAGAGATGTTGTTCCCGATCTTATTGAAGAAATTCCATTAAATGAGCGCCTCACTATGTGGTGGCAGCCAGACAGAGCACCACCTCATAACTCGCATGTTGTAACGCATTTTTGACTAAAAGATTTGAAGGGAACTGGATTGGTAATAAGGGACCTGTTAGGTGGCCTGCACGGTCACCTGACCTGAGTCTTCTCGATTTTTATCGGTGAGGACATTTAAAACAAGTTGTATACGCTGAAAAAACAAATAACGTTGAAGATCTACAGAATAAAATCACTCGTGCTTGCCGTCAAATATCTCCAGAAATTATACGGTCCTCTTGTACACAAGCACTTTTAAGGAGGTATGAACTGTGTCAAAATGAAAATGGCCAACAATTTGAACAAATTTTATAATAGCTATAATGTTTTTTATTTTGTATTATTCCTGAGAGTACTTATTAAAAAATGTTATAAAACCTTTTCTATATAACATTTCTTTCTATCTCGACTAGTTTCCGAGATAATGCCTGTCAAGATAGCTTTGGGACACCCTGTATATAAAAACATACTTACATGGTTTGTCAAGAGAAAAAGCAAAGCCAGGTATATCCCTGTATCAATACACTAGGTCTAGGGGATGAGGGTGATGAGTGTGATGTCACAATTGGTGTCAAAATACATAACTTTTATAATTAAAATTGTCTCTGTCGATTTTCTACGGGAATAAAGTTTACATTGAAATTTGAAAATAAAAAGCCTATTAACTAAATACATTGTGAGGAACAACTACTTTGCGGACTATAACCCCGTCCAGAATCAAATTATAAATAAATAAATTTACTATATATTGCAAGTGTAATTAAATAAAAACATATTTTAGTCTGTGACCCGTCAAATATTTACGAACTTTCATAGAATATTACAGATTTTAAAGTTTTTTAAGTCTATTTGTGGACATAATTACAAAATAGATGAAAAAGCACGTGTGTTAATGGTATTTAATAAAATTAGTCCGGAAATAAACTAATTTTATTTATTAGACGATAAATACTATTTATATAGTTATGTTATAAATATTCTTAATATCAAAATGAGTTAGACTTAGTTTCTATATACAATATCACATTACATATAAGAGTATAATTCATTTCTGGCTTATTTCATAATTTAAATTATTTCAAAAATTTCCCTAACCGAATATTTCGTTTCTTCCTTTATTTATCTATGTTGAAATCTCTAAAATCTTCTAGAATGACTTCCTTTTCTATTTACCGGAGTGTCTATTTACACTTACTTCAGTGGCTTGTTCTCTGTATTTGGATACACCATCGTTAAAAGTGTACAGCCTGAAATTACAAATGTAATAAGAATTTTTTCAGTTGTGGGTATATTAAGCAATATGTTTACCGAATGTCAGAAACCCAATATAAAAAAACGGCGGTGCACATCCAGTTTGAAGCAAATATGGAAATACCACGTTTCCAACTATTGATCCTGTTCTGGCAAACATAAAATGTAAAGAGAGGGCCATTGCTCTGAATGAGAGAAAATTTCTTATTAGTTTATAATATTATTTCCAAATGAATAAGAGGGTTTTTTGTTGGTAGAAAATATTAAGATATGAAGGGATTTAGAAAAGTTTTCTACCTAGCAATCAAGATTTTTGATAATTTTGATTTTGAATAATCTGCGTTGATTTCAACGCTTTATACTAATTACCTTGAAATGATTCTATTCCATAAAAAAATCTGTTGTCTTGTTGTAGGTATTGGTATATATTTTATAATGCGCTTTAAAAATAATTCAACGCCATCATCACTCCCGCATATCAAGAGTGACAATTCATGAAGTTCTCTTCATGTTGGTAAAGAGAAGAGAACAGTACTTGTAAGTAATATTTTTTGTACAACTTATTTTTTATTGTAATGAAATTTAGGGTTAGATGGGCATAATACATTTTGTTTAGTAGTAGGGGTAGGTTGCTATATTGTAGTAATCAATCCCATGGTTCGTCTGATGCGATTTTATGTTTTCTTGTCCAAGAGGAAATAAAATGAGAACCTGCAAAGGAAAAATGGAAAGAGGAATGTTGAGTTTCCTCAATTAAGACAAAATTAATACAAACCATCTACTTCAAGGAAGATAATGACAGCCTTTTCCAAGGCCAACTGCCGGAAAAATCCACACCAAGGCACCGGTGTACATACCATTTCGTGTATATGCGAAAACCTATATGTACATACACATTGGACAAATGAGAAGTCACACCAGAACGAGGTTAAAGGAGACAAGTGTCACTTGAGGAATAATAACGTGGAAAAATCGTCAGTTACAGAACACAGGATAGTCACAGAACACAAAATAGACTTAAGTAATACCGTAATTCTAATGAAAGAGAGAATATTTTGGCCAAGGCTCTACAGGGAAGCGATAGAAATCAGAAAAATTGAATTAATATCAATCGAGACAATGAATTATAACTATCTGGAATTTGTAAACATCTCATAGGTAAAAATCTGTGACCAGAACGATACGGCTCAGTGACTGGTTCATAGTTTCTTCTGAAGAAGAAACCTATGTGCTTGTTGAAACATCAAAAAGCTGAAATCTACGAGTTGGCACGTGCCTGGAAATTATTTAACCAAAACAAGAATGGATGCGCTTATGAAAAGTATGTAGATACTATGATTCCAACGGTGACCCTTAAAACGGTAAATTCCAACCTTAGTGATACAATGATCATAGGGTCATTTGCTATAATTGCCATTATCTGTTAGTAACGTTAATACCGTCTTTTGCGTTTCATATAAAATACTGTTGTTTTTGTTGTTATTTAGTAATAAGTTGGTAATGTGAGCATTTTTTAATTTTCTCTTGAACAACCATAAAAATTATTTATTGTAACGAACTCTCGATCTGGTTTATTCTTTTTAATTCGTTTTCGTTCAAATTCTTGAATAAAATCAAGTTAGACATAGCCAAATCTGGACTATACGGTTGTTGGTCTAGCTCAGAGAAGGTAGAGTAGTGAAAGATGGCTCGAACTTTGCCGATCTTGGAGTTTGTTGGTCAGCAGCTGTAGGTAGATATTATCGGAAGTGCAGTAATATTTTCCAGCTTATAACATAATAACATAAAAACATAATTTATGCATGTTCTTTAATTTTGTTTTTGGGTCAGTACACAGTAGTAGTAGTAGTAAAAGGGGCGGCCTCAGCCTGGCAATTAGGTCACAAGTGGGCCCTTTTTGCCTACCCCGCCGTCGCATCACCTAACCACTCTCTGCCTCTGACCCTCCTCGAACCTACCCGACGCCCTGTTGAACGCCAGGATTTTGGTCCATGGAAGGTCTCTCACCTCAACCCCTTGCAGCTCTTCAGCACTAAAGACTTTATGTCTTATTCTCCCAAAGGTTGCACACTGTCCCAGAAGGTGGACAGGGGTGTCCTCCCCTTCGCCACATTTCGGGCATAGAGGGTCCTCCTCAATTCCTATTAAGCTTAAATGCCTCCTAAGTCTGCAGTGGCCTGTCAGAACCCCCACCATTTGGTTTAGGGCTCTTCGACCGAAGCTCAGCAGCCATCTCATCTTGGATTTGCTAGGTCCATGTATAAAACTATGGGCCTGCCTACATCCTCTATTTCTCCTCCAATTATGAAGTTTGATAGGCCCATTTATTTAGGGCCCCGTTAATGCTGCCTCGTGTGATACCTAAGATTGGTTCAGGTCCCTGTCCAGGTCTCCTGGACCCGAGACGAGCTAATTGATCCGCCCTCTCGTTACCAGGGATACCCATATGGCCTGGGACCTAAACCAACTCTACTTCTTTTCGTCTGGCCAACGACTCTAGAGCGTCTCCACATTCCTGGACAAGGACAGACCTAGTCCTCGGGGAGCTAACCGCTCTTAGCGCGGCCTGACTGTCGGAGCAGATAACAATCTTCTCCTCTGCACAATTCCTTACCTCCTCCTTGCTTACTACCATCAAAATAGCAAAAACCTCGGTCTGGAAGACTGTAGCATACATACCCAGTGAAAAGCTTTCCTGGATGCCGCTGCCTTCCAGATAAATTCCTACTCCTGAAAACTCGTCTTCTATCCGAGATACATCAGTATAGCATACTAGGGATCCCGGGGTGAACATATCACCATCCTGCTTCCACTGCTCTCTCGAGGGGAAAGTGGTGACATACTTCCTTCCTAACCCAAGCCGGTCCTCTGCTTCCGTAACCCTCATGGCGGATATTGGGATGTCCCTTTCCGCCCCGAGGGCCACGGCAGCATTGCCCTCAATGCGTCCTTTCGCTCTCCAACCGCCGGCGTCCCTTATCCTAAGGTATGGTCAATACCCAAGTCACTATCGTAGAGAAAAAGTTAGGATATGAATTTAAAGACTATATTATTTAGATATATTTGCCTTCGAAGCAACGTATGTTTGGTTGTCACGAATTTTCGAATTACATTTCTGAAACTTTAGTCTTGCGTAGTTCATCATATAGAACGGTCTAAATCAGATATATTTATTACGTTATCAATACCATCAAACAATGATCTTTGAGAACCATTTTTTCCACTTTGCTGCGAAGTCAGTACTGGATGCGACTGAAGGCTTTTCATTTCTTGGTTTATTTAAATGGGTTCACGACTGCAGTGAAAATGACCACCAATATTCTCCCTTAAAATACGAAGTAACTTCATCCTCATTCTGTATAGTGCAGTTATTAATGAATAGTTTTAGGACTATTCCGTTTATTTTTTTCTTAAATTTGATGTCACTACGAATTTCAAAAACTCTTTTCTGTGTTGTAGAACACTTCATATGACTCAAGGTAGTGAATAAATTGAAATTTTTTATGTACAAGTAAAAAAATTATTAAATTATTTCTATCATCGCTAGGTAGATCTTTTCTAGTATCCTCGTATATTTACATTGACTTTAAATAATAGATAACTATACTAGCTATTTTCATATCTGATGAATATATTTTTTTAATATCTTTTTTCAGTATTAAATGCAAACGACATGAAAAACCACCATAAAAACAAATTACAAGATCCAGAAATAATGGATGATTGCACGTACATACCTTAAATTTGTAGGAAAAATTTCAAGAGTAATAGTAACCAAAACATTTGCGCAAACTCCTGCCAAAGCTAAAAAGATTGTCGATAATGCTAAAACAGTTTCTGAATTCGGAGACAAATAAAGGCAAGAAGCACTCGTTCCAGCAATAAGGGTCATAGCAACTGCAACATTTATTTTGTTTAAATTCTGTAACTATCAAATAAAAAAATATTCTAATCATACTTATCAGTTTTTTCTTTCCCAATGCATTGATGATGGTTCCCGTCAAGGAGAAACACAAAATTGACGTAAAGCCAACTATTATCGATCTAATGTATACTGATGAATTGTCCAAGTTCTACAATAAGAACCTGGTTATTTTTATATCATTGGTTTATTAAAGTTCTGGGTCTTACTACTGCACATGTCGAAGAAGTACTGTTGGTTAATTTCAGACCAGAATCTAACATTTCACACATGCTGGAACTAGCACCATTATGGTCAAATTCGTAATCATTTATCGCTTGGAATAACTGAGGTAGCCAAAGTTTTAAAGTATTTGTGCTGAAATTTAAAAGTATTAAATATAATAATAAGTACAGAAGTTCCTTTCACTTATTTTATACCCACCTCATGAGGATAATAAAACTATTCATACAAACTAGGAGAAGCTTAAAAAGAAGAGGCGGGCAGAATAGTGGTTTAATTTTATATAATCCCTCAATAATTGCCTTTTTTCCTTTTTGTTCCACTGAGTTTTTATCATTTCTGTCAAGAACCATCTCATTTGCTAGTACTTTAATCTGAAATAACATGTTAAAGTATATTATGAATTTCCACAAAACTATGAGCACATTATTAGTTAATAATTTTAAATGTCCTTTGAGAAGCTGAAAGGAGAGTTGAGAAACAGAAGATGAGAATAGATAAGTAACTGATGTAGATAAAATATTATATATAATATTAAAAAATATATAAGAAATGATTTCTAGTTTTCTTCGCTGATTAGTTGAGTTAAGGAAAGAGTGTCAACATGAATTTCATTTGGAATATCTTCATTGAGCTTTCAATTAATACATGTGTAGCGTTGAATGGTTTAGAAAAAAATTGGAAATTTTGTAAAAGTTATTACCGGATAAGTATCTGCTGATTTTCCTTTATTTATCCTGTAAATTTTTTGGAATACCCTCAAAGCCTCTGCATTTCTTCCTGTACTCATCAAAAACTTCGGACTTTCTGGCATAAACAAAAAGGCGATTCCACTAGTTATCGGTGATAAAGAAAGAATCAGTAAAAATACGTTCCAAGATTGAAATTCTATAATTTTAATGACCTCAGTTATTTTTAGATTTATTTAAAATACCTAAATTTATTACCAAAATAATCAAAGAGTTTAAAATTCAAATTTTGTGGCAATACCGCCCATGATATCAAAGGTACAGCGATATTACCCAGTGATACTATAGTCCCTCTAACCAAGTGTACTCTTGTTCTGTATTTTGAACAATGGAATTCAGATACGTATGAAGTCGCTGCTGAAAATGGGCCATTAATTCTGAAAATAAATATATCAATGTTGCATCACCGAAGAAGTACCCAAAAAAAACGGTAAAAGTATAACTGTAAATTCTAATCAAACTATGCCTTTTTTTTGTTCTTTGAAAAAATTTTTTAAAAGGAATTAATATAAAAAGGTAGAATCTTAAAAATATACTTTTGTCTTTAAGTCGTAAGAAAGTACTTACATAAAACCCCCAAAAAATTTAGCTATAAGAAGCATAACGAAATTTTGTGAACTTGATGCCATCAAAGCAAAAAATCCATCCAAAAAATATCCAATTATCATTACTTTTTTTCTACCTGCAACATCGCATATATATCCCCAAGCAAAACCACTCGATATCATACCTAAAAATAAGATTCCTTCACTACAACTTTTCTGTAATCGCATACTTACTATCATGATATTAAATCTTTGCGCCTACAAAATACTTTTTCTAATGTTGTATCTTATTGTCTATATACATACCCATAGAAAAAAATATATAGCATACAAATAAAAAGTAGAATTCTTGTAATAAAATAACCTGTAATAAAATAATTTGTTTAATAGTTACAGAAATTGATAACATTAAGTAACATTTTTTAGTTATTCTGAAATTATTATTGAAACAATACATCTGCACATTTGTTGGTTGGAATAAAAAATTTTGAATGACAAATTTCTTTTAAATTGCAATATTTTAAATTATATTATTTCTTTCATTCAATTAACTATCGCTTTGGAACATGTATCTTCCTAAGTATGAATTAATTAGCAATTATTTTTTACGAGGTTATTAATTTAAAAAATTCAGTGGTATTCAACCTTTTTTTCTCGCAAACTCCTTCCAAAAAATGTTTAAATTTAAGTACCTACCCCTTAAATCTTATAATTAGTCAAGTAAAAATACTTTAGTTTTAGTTAGAGTTGGTAGAGGGTCAGAAGTCAGCATTAGATGTCAGATAGTAGATAAATATGATTTTTTTACTTAATTATGCCTAAGTGCCTATATTATACCACTAGTACAATATTTACATTGGAATTTAGATTACACAGCCCCACAAAAAAAAAGTGTTCGGACTTGTGGGTCGGACATATGTATTCCCATGTATTTTTCGACGCTGAATCCGATCCCGAGCTCAGAAATGGCCCTCCACGTCTGGAATTGGCCCCAGGGCAAGGGTCGGCAACTGGCGGACCGCGGTCCAGGTCCGGACCGCGGAAGGTAAAATACTGGACCGCCAAAAATTTTTTGAAAGTATAAATTACTCAAATAAATTATTTAAAAAATGTTTTTTACGTTTAAGTGCCAATCATGTCATTTTTTCTAGTATTTTACAATTGTATGAGTGTGTGAGTTCTTAATGGTTAGTAAGCAAATTAAATTTGAGTCCAAATTAAAATAAAAAATAAGAAATATGATTTTTTTCTGGACCTCGTTAAAAATTTTTAAAAGTATCCGGACCCCACCTAAAATTACTTGCCGACCCCTGCCCCAGGGGCCAAAAATGGCCTCTATAAGGCCTGAAAGATGGATTCCGGGATGAGGCGAGGTCGAACGTGCATTCTAAAGCCAAAGCCGGATTTGTGGTCGAAAAGTTTGTGGCCAACTGAAATTCTCTGTTTGGGACCAGGAAATGACCCCTTAGGGGTCGGAAAATCGTGTTTCGGACGTCGCAATTGCAACAGTGGTATTTTTATGTACTTTTGCCAACTGGCATTCCCCGTTTGGGACCGGGAAAATGACCCCTTAGGGTCCGGAAAATCGTGTTTTAGAAGTCGCAATCGCAACAGTGGTATTTTTATGTACTTTTAAATTCTGAAACTCCGGAAAATCGGTTTCTGCCCCTAAGGGGTCATTTTCTCGGTCCCAAACGGGAGATTCCAGTTAGCCATAAACTTTTCGAGCACAGTCTGAGTCCAGAATTTAAAAGTACATAAAAATACCACTGTTACGATTGCGACGTCCGAAACACGATTTTCCGGACCCTAAGGGGTCATTTTCCCGGTCCCGAACGGGAGATTCCAGTTGGCCATAAACTTTTCGAGCACAGTCTTAGTTTCAGAATGTAAAAGTACATAAAAATACCATCGTTACGATTGCGACGTCCGAAACACGATTTTCCGGACCCTAAGGGGTCATTTTCCCGGTCCCGAACGGGAGATTCCAGTTGGCCATAAACTTTTCGAGCACAGTCTTAGTTTCAGAATGTAAAAGTACATAAAAATACCATCGTTGCGATTGCGACGTCCGAAATACGATTTTCCGGCCCCTAAGGGGTCATTTTCCCGGTCCCAAACGGGGAATTTCTGTTGGCCATAAACTTTTCGATCACAAATCCGACTTTGGCTTTAGAATGCACCTTAGACCTCGCCTCATTTTGGAATCCATCTTTCAGACCCCTATAGAGGCCATTTTTGGCCCCTGGGACCAATTTCAGACGGGGAGGGCCATTTCTGAGCTCGGGATCGGATTCAGTGTGGAAAAATACTTGGGAATACATATGTCCGACCCACAAGTCCGAACAGTTTTTTTTTGTGGGGCTGTGTTATCTAATGGTAAATGGAAAATTTTTGAGCTTGCTTATACAGTTTTTTGAATAAATAAATAAAATTTAATTAATGGAATAGTTTCATTACACAGCTCCACAAGAAAAAAGTGGAAAGTCCGAAAAACAACACCATAATATCTACATGTTTCTCGGACTGTTGAATCCTAATCCGGTGTCGGTTTGACCCGATTAACTCTCGGTTAAGGTCAGTTCAAGGTCAAATATAGAGAATCGATTGCTAATAAAGTAAACTTGCATATCTATACGTTTTTGAGGTCTCTGAATCCGAGTCCGGGGTCCATTTGACCCAATCAGGTCTGCTAAATACTCTCACGTTCTAAATTTAAAATACTCACATTCTTGAGAACAGTTTTTGAAGATAAGGTGTTTTTTACCTTGACGAATCACATGGAATCACTATATTTCACTATTATGTTATCGTGACTACTACTCACTTTTGCGGTATCGAACTATTTTGTTGTCAAAAGATCTATGAAGTGGATTTATTTTACGTTTTCTCGATTTCAATGATAAATTTCGCTTTAACGACTATCAGTAATCGACTAACATGTTTATATTCCATCTGCCTTGGTACCTACTGCCCATTTCCTTAATATCTTTCTCCTTGCTCCCCAATGAAATCACCCAGATTTCCTGGGAAAATGAGAATGCACAAAATGTAATTTGGGCTTCATTAAGGTTTTTGAAGCTTTCTATCAAATTCTTTATGATTTGGAGTCTTTCGATTTCCTAAGAAATTTTCGATTAGTTCCTGAAAACATAACCTTGCTGCTTTCTCGTTTTCATTCAAACACAAAAATATAATCCTATAACATCTTACGGATCTGAGGTTCATCAAAAATCCCTTCCCGCAATTTCGCATCTCTGAAATTGGGGAACTGATTTCCGAAATACTTAAAGCATTGACCATCTTTGTTTAGAGTTTTTACCCAATTAGATGTGCAGAGATGGTATAAGGATTTTTGATGGATCAACAAGTGACTCATGTATTATATTCTTTAACCCAGGATCGAAGGTTTTTGTGTATCCCGATTGTTGACCTAGTACTATTGCCATGATTTTAAGATTCCCACAAATTTGCGATTTATGTTGTTGGGCTCCTACCTAAGACTATTCGCATATTACAGTACTCTTCTTTCAATATCACCGAGTGCGCTGCAGGTATGGCTACATAAACATTTGTATTATGTAGAAGAACAGCTTTCAAACCGGGACGGGACGCGTAGTAATTTATTTGTTAGTTCTCGGAACGGATGGGCCAAAAAGTAAAATATTTCAGTCAACACAAATTATCGAAAGTTAAGGGCTCTCAAGTAGGTTAGCGTCATCCTTCGGAGTAATTTAGCAATATTTTTTTAACAAGTTCACTTAGTGTCGGGGCCATGTGAACCATATACCTTCCACAAGAGGAAGGTATATGGTTGTTTGTAAGCCTAGTCACAGAATCATGTATATAAATGTAAGTCCAGTCAATTAGGTAATTATTAACAACACATAGTTATGCCAAAGCGTCCCGACATTCAGAGTTCCCGCCAATAAGATAAGAACAGAAACTTCTGGACCCATGAAATGGGCGTGTCGAATTCAGGAGATATCTACGAGAAAAAGTCAGTTCTTCCTTAGGTTTCACATTGAGCAGTCGACTTCGTTTTAGAGTCTCGGGTTAATTTAATAATGGATAGAGTCATTCCAAATTTTGCTATGGAGCGCGCATTCCCTGAATCTCGGTACGCTTCGCGTGTCAATTATTAAGTGATTAAGTAATAATGTTGTTCGAGCCGTTGTATTGTTATTTTGTTTGTTTGTTTTGTTTATTGTTATTAAAACCCTTCCTGGAAGTTTTAGTGTTTCCTTTTGTTCCTCTCAACTTCAGTGTCATCCTGTATAGCCACTGGATTACATTCTACGTAAGCAATAGAGGGTAAGTGCCTGAAATTCATTCTCTGAACATACAATATTTTTAAGTTCCCACGTATTAATTAAAGTATAATGATAATTATAAACTCCCTTTCGAGAATTGAATAGTAAACTCTTTTGAAATCCACACTCGTTATGATACTGGTCATAACGACTAGATCAGATCTGGAATAAGGTCAGTTCAAGGTGGAATGTAGAGAATCAATTGCCTACAATCTAAACCAATACAGGGTGAGTCGGAAAGAATGGGTCAACATTAAGCTGGAGATACTAGACACATAAATATTATATTTGAGCTCATCATGCCTTATACGAATGTTGCTGGTTTAAGAAATACAGGGTGTTCAAGGTGATTTAAATTTTATTCTGAAATTTCTCAATAATTGAGAAAGTTTTAATAGCATGACTTTGAAATTTGGTAGTGTTCGGTTTTTTGGTGTGAGAATAACGAATTTGAAGCTTATCTTGACGTTGCTCCTAGAGGGTGCTAGTTTCACCGTATTATTTAGGTAAATTAATATGTATATTTTAACCTGTTGAGCTATGCTTAAAATAGTTAAAAATCTAAAAGAACGTTCAATTCTACATAAAATATCGTGCATAATTATTAGCTAGTGATCAAAAAATGCCACTACATAATAATTTTTCCAACAGTGACATGCGTGATATGATTTGTGTTTTTCCTCAAGCTAATTTTAATGGACATGTGGCGGTCCGATGATATGCACAATTTACCCAAATAGATTGCAACCTAATTATAAACTGTTCGGAAATCTTTACAACCGCTTAGACGAATCTGGATCTTTTCGACCAAAAAGTAACCATAGTACTCCAAAATCTATTAGTCGATGAAGACGAGAAAATTTTAATTCGTGTTTCGGAAAATTCCGATATGAGTACTCGTCGGTTAAGTGTGGGGGTAAGCCAATCGTTCATTTGTAGTATTTTGAAAATATAAATGCTCCATCCACATCATTATACTCCGGTTCAGCAGTTATTGCCTTAAGATTAACCAGCTCGCCTATAACTTGCTCAGTTTGTACAAAATATGCAAACGGAAAACCCAGATTTCCTCAATAAGATTCTATTTACCGATGCGGCGACATTTACTAGATGGGGAGTTTGCTATTGGAAAAACAATCATTTGTGGAATTCCGAAAATCCACATGCTTTAAAAGAGCATGAGTTTCAGGTGAATATTTGGTGTGGTTTAATTTCTGTTTTTTTTTTCATAGAACCTTTTGAGTTGCAACCCAATCTAACTGGACTTCATTACTTAAACTTCCTTCAACATAATTTAAACAAGCTTCTAGAAGATGTACCACTCGCTGTAAGAGAGAGTATGTGGTTTATGCGTGCGCCACCACATTTTGTCTTGCCAGTACGCCAGTATTTAAATGAACATTTTCCTCATCAGTGGATAGTTGGCCACCGAGAAGTCCAGACTTAAACCCTCTGGACTTCGCAGTTTGGTCGAACTTGATGGATGTGGTGTATTGTGAAGAAATTAATTCTGTTGAGGAGTTGCAGCAGAAAATACAAGTAGCTGCGAATTCATTTAAAAATAATAGGGACATTTACTGCAAAATTTACAAAATCCTACTATTACCTCGGACCTAAAATATATAATCTATTGCCAGAAGATATTAAATCTTATAAATCATATACATCTTCTAAAAAGCGTCTAAAAATATTCTTGGATGAAAAGACAGCAAGATATCTCAATTTTATTAAATAACATGCAATAAATTTTAAAATCATACTTAAAAATATGATCCCCGTGCTTTTCCTCATTTCTTTCTTTCTTTTTTTTTACGGAAAAAGAAAGAGATAATTATTTATTTTCATCTTTTGAGAATAAAAAATCACCACAACATACTCGTACATTGAAACTTTTTAGATAAAGTTATACGACCTAAACAAGAGTACATTTTGTATGTAGAAATAAACGTTCTTTTAGATTTTTAACTTTTTTTAAGCATAGCTCAACAGATAAAAAAATATGTTTTGATTTACCTAAATAATACGGTGAAACTAACGCCCTCTAGGAGCAACGTCAAAATAAGCTTCAAATTCGTCTCACACCAAAAAAACTCAATACTACCAATTTTCTGAGTCATGCTATCAAAACTTTCTCAATTATTGAGAAATTTCAAAATAAAATTTAAACCTTGACCACCCTGTATTTCTTAAACTAGCGACATAAAGCATGATGAACTCAGACATAAATTTTGGTGTCTATATCTCCAGCTTAGTGTTGAGCCATTCTTTCTGACTCACCCTGTATATCTATACGTTTTTGGGGTCGTTGAATCCGAATCTGAAGTCCATTTGGCTTGATCAGATCTGCTAAATACCCTCAATTTCTGCATTTATGCATCTTAAAATTACCAAAGAGTTGCGGTCGCATGATGACGACGATTGCTTACTCACTCCGAACAATTGCCGATACCGAGGTTCCTAATCCTTGCATCGTAACAGGTTTTCCCATGTCTGTCATAATGACTCAAACGCCTTTACCCAGAGCTTTAGCCGATGGCAGAAAGAAATTCACAAAAAGTCCTTGCCCACCATCACCATGTGAAGCTGCCCTGTGTGGCAGACACTTTAGGTGATCAAGATTTCTTCGATACATCAAAGAAAGTATACACCGACGATGCAAAAATAGAAGAAAAATCAATCATATATACATACGAAAGATGCCTATAAAAATTTGTTTGGTTTGAACTCCAAAGAGTTTGAGGAGCAGGGAGAAAGACCATGATATTAAAGAAAATTTGGATGACAATGAAAGTATCGCTGATAGTGCTAGTAATATGACGAATATATTCCATATAACGTTATCAAAAAGACATTAACAATATTTCAAGAAAAGGGATGGAGCCGAGTTCCTAACATGATACTTAAAAAAAAATACTGTAACCTGAGGGGTTATTTCTTTATCTATTCTATCTATCTTAAACGGACACCAGATTCTGATTCAGGAACCCCAAAAACGTATAGATATTTACGTTTACTTTGTTGGCAGTGATTCTCTATATTTTTTTACGTTGAACTGACCTTAACCCAGACCTAATCGGGTCAAAGGACATTGGTTTCAGATTCAGCGACCCCAAAAACATGTAGATACCATGGTCTTTTGAACCTCCCACTTTTTTTGTGAGGCTGTGTTATTATTTAACTTATTTTTTCCCACACTATGCACCTACGTATCCTAAGAGATTCCTTCGCGTACCCCTCTAAGATCCCTAGGGATACGCGTATTACTGGTTGAATACCACTACATTAATTTGTTAAACCACAGTGTCCTGATAATAAATTAAACTGTTTAAAATGTTATACACTTGTATCCTTGTATCATTTGAAATAACGTTTTATCCAAATTAATAAAACTTTAGGTATTTAACTGTTTCCAAGGTATATGTTTTTCGCTTATGACTGGAGGAGATTGGTTATTAGATTTCTATAGCGATAGGGAAAAAGTTTGTTCGTATGTTTCGAATTCAAAGTTAAATTAAAATTAAACTAATACATTGTTATGTAAAATTATACGATATATATTTGTACAGGATAAAATTATGTGTATTTAATTCAAGTAGATAACTATAACTTTAGGCAAATATGACATTAGTACGTAAACTTACCTGCGAACGTAATTGCATTCAATATTCCTTTATCTTGTAATCTCAAATTTAAATCACATTGTGCAATAGGTAACACGAAAGACATTGAAGTACTTTCAAAAACCTGGGCAAAGACTGTGGGCAAGATGACTAATATGAGTATGATATTGAATTTCCCGAACCCTGTTGCAGATATAGCAGTTTCGAAATCGGCCTCTTCCAAATCTAAAATTACGTAAAATTATTTGTGTCTGAATTAGTTATCCAGTATTTGACATTTATGACATAATTACTTTAAATAAAAAATCTTTTTGTTTATAGAAACTTTCTTCTTTGTAGAAGAAGCATATGCAATAGAAAGAATAACTTTGCCCTTTTAATCTAGCACCCTATACTTATGTTTTTGTGTTACATATTTATCCGAAGAGCACACATTTCTTCATATACTTATATTATATATTAATAAATTATTCTAATTAGTCAATTCAAATTAGTTCATTACAAGACATATACTTTAGAGAGAGATTATATCAGTATCTTTGTCCAACAGGTTACTATCATAGAATACACGTTTATTTTTTCTATTACAAATAGTAAAGAAACGTCCCATTTAAATATAATATAATTATACACAAGAAAAAAAATAATAACTCAGACCGATTTAATCTTAACTCTCTCTTGCATTATTTATAATCGAGGACAATTACTTTCAAAGATATTTCACTGCATAGGAAGACATTGAGAGTTATTAGTTTTTTGGAATTCTCCATACCTTTAGTTAGTAGGTAGATTATTTATTTTTATAACTGTTTTAGGTATTGTTATTTTGTCATTTGATAGCTCAGATTTTTCATTATTTGGCTGACGATTTGTCTTTTTTGTTTTCTTAACAATAAATATCGTGGTGTGTGAAAGATCAGTAGAAGAACCATTTCAATCTTAACAATAACAGCACTATTTTGTAAAAAAAAACAGGAAAATTAAGCACTCTACAGATAAAATGTCCTTAATAAAAATTTAATCATTTCGCGGAAGAAATACATTAGTGCTAGAATTACCGCCCCCCCCCCTTGTAGATGGGACAGGGGGAAAATTAAAAAAATCAGTTGTTATATAGAATCATCGTTTTTTTTCTAATTTTAATAGAATTATTCTCTCTGCATGGAAAAATCACTTTTGTTCTCTTAATATTTCATATTATTTACTGTTAGAGAACAGGCCTTCAAACTTCATTTAATCCTAAGAAACCATTTTAACAAAAACTATAAAAATGTAAGAATCCTAATGAATGACATTACTACCTTTTTCACGTACATTTTGCTTACCTTCCAACTTTCCATTTTTCTGTGATATACTGTTCACTCTCTTTGTATTATTTTTATTGTCACTAATAACGTCAATACTTATTTCATCCATTACATATATTAATTGGCAACAGTTTTAAGTTAAGTTACCTAAAATACTAATGTAAAACCTTAACAAACATGAGTTATGAACCTTGTTTGTCTTAATTTTATCGCAGGTGTATTGTTAAAATCAATGTACATAAATATAGTAGCATAGTTCTGCGTGAGGAGAGATAAAATGTATGTAAAGAAATATAAACATAAAATACACAACTATATTTTCCATAAATTTTAATTAATTGAAAATAATCCATAAACCGGTCAAAATAGACCAAAAAATAGTGGTAATTTTACAATAATTCGGATAGAGCTAAATATTGGTATAGGTCGGGGACCGCCTAGCCGGGTATCTTGGCCGGCGGATTTCGATCTGCCGAGTCAAGCATCACGGACGTGGGCTGGAATTTGGATGGGTGACCTAAGGCAGGCTCGGGGACGTGGGCTGTGGCAGCCTGTCAAGAGACCTGGGTCGCCCAACATTTGCCGCACGCGTGTGGTCCCCGATAAATGGTAATGAGAGCAGAGCAAGAAATCTCTGTAACTCAAGACCATGCTATCATACATAAACTGTACGAGACTTTGCCACCAAGCCACCTGCGTAGTAAATAGGATGGTTTGAAGAAAAGTGCTCGAGTAATGAAGGAGGGTGTACAAGGGGCCTAATAAGACCTAAGTGCCGCGGTGGAAGACAATTCCACCACAACTCCGACATACATACATACATACATACATACATACATACATACATACATACATACATACATACATACATACATACATACATACATACATACATACATACATACATACATACATACATACATACATACATACATACATACATACATACATACATAGGTATAGGTCTTTGATACACTATTATAAGTAAAATGTCAAAAGTCCCCACCGATTCCATGCGTACTAAAAAATGTATTCAAGGTCAAAGGTCACAAATATCGTTTTTTGCATTTTTCTCGTTATCATAAAAATAGACAGGACAAAAGTTGTAGATCATGTAATTCTCTACAAAAATAGTCCCAATACTTCTTTCCTGAGAATCACCATTCCTGAGATATCACCATTTTAAAAGTTGAAGAAGTCGCATTCTACATGATATGCACACATTTCCGCACCACCTATGAGATAGTGTACTCGGCGCGTTTTTATTAACGTGGGTTCCCCGGTAGACGTACCCCACGATCTATTTTGATTCAGTTTTATAAGATAATATTCTATTCAATAAAAAATGGTACTACTGGTTATGATTAAACTGGAACGAATTATTGTTGATTTCGGGAAAATTTTGATCTGACTGATAATCTTCAAATGTTACCTACTTCAACAATAATGTATTTTGCGCTTTGTTCTTCATCTTCTTCCTCTTGCTGGATAGCTATGAATTGTTCAAATAAAGATGCATCAGTTGCCTCCTTAATTCAAACTTTACTCCCACCTGCTCCAGAAAAACTTCTTAACGCCATTTTTTGCAGTTGCAAAAAAGGTTGCAGTGTAAACTGTGGCTGTAAAAGAGTCGGATTATTTTGTTCATTAGTATGTACCTACCAATTGTCATGGCCAAATGAGTGAATCGATAATAAATCTTGAAAATAATAAAAACAATAACAAACAGATATTGATATTATGTAACGAAAGAACAATTAAATCTTAACAAAAGTAAATATGTTATACCATTAGTTTCAATGTTCTTTTATAAACGCATTTTGTTAATGAAATGTCTTTTCGTTAGGGTCGTGTTCCTCGATTCATTATCATTATTTATTTTTTGCTCACTAATTTGCGAATAACTTGATAACTAAAAAGATATCGAACCCTTTTTGGCGCCAAAATGTTGCTATTTTTATGCTCTTCAAACTAACCTATAAAAAGTTTTATCCAGCTATTTCACTTTTTCAGAAAATGTGAAACAACCTAAACTTGGATAAATAGCACCAATAAATAAACAACACTTTCGTTAGAAATTTCAAACTTATGTTATACCTACTCATCAATTTTTCAAAACTTTTGAGAAAAATCCATAAACGGCATTCTTTTGAAATAACGCCATCTATAGATTTCCAATTTGAGGTTAATGACATTACGCATTCACCACGAGATAAAGCATTAATATACCTTTCCAACAAGGTATAATACTATGGGCTTTTGATGAGCCAATCCTTAAAAAAATAAATTTTTCTGATCAGACATTAGGGGCTTTCCCCACCCTTTCTGTCAAGAGATAGAAAAAAATGTTAATAACAGAAGTTATGCGCAATGAATCCGGTTGTCCATATTTGTACGATTTAATATACCTGAATAGGAAACAATTCTGAGAAAAATACTTTATGTTTTGGTATGTAGTTTGCGCCCTCTAGCGGCCGAGCTGCGAACTATTACCAACGATTTCTCTTGGTTGATTTATTAGTCGATATTTTTTCCTGAAGTTCTAGTGCCTATACTTTCCCTAATATCGTACCTCGCCGATCTTAATGGAACATCCTGTATAAATCTTGCACGCATATTGAGAGGTACTTCTTCAAGAAGAACTAGTAAGGTATTTGAAGAGTTTCAGAAATTTTACAGCACTTCGTGCAAGGCGAAGCGGCAAACGATTGATGATTTTGTTCTGCGACCTCATTATTTTGTCTACATGTATCGTATATTATTAGCATGTTCATGATTGCTGTAATTATGCACAATGGTAATAAAACGTTAACCATTAGTAACAATAATGTCCTATTAGTTGTTAGTTTGCAATAGTCACACTATGCTGAGATACATTAATAAATAACCCATTTTATTAAAGACGCATTAAAATGAAAGTAAATAACTTCAGTAACAGAGATTACAACTAACATTTTGTTAATGTCAATATGAATTAAATGCCAAACAAACTTCGTATCTGCTGTATGTAACAAAATGTTACCTCCATCGAAGTACATTGTCTACCTTGGTTCATTATTAACTATATCAGTGGCATTCGAAATTTTTTCTCAAGGACCCCCTCCCAAAAAATTTTAAATTTAAGCACCCCCTTATCTAAAGTCTTATATAATGAGAGTTGAAATAAATATATTTTAGTTTTAGTTTAGTAGAAGTCAGAGTTGGATATCAGGTAGTAGGTAAATACAATATTTAAACCAGATGACTAATAGTCTATAACGCTAACGAGGAATTCAGCAAATGATGTGATTGTGAAGGCTAGGAAATCTTATTTGGTACTTTCACGGACTGTAAAAATATAGTATATAGATTGAGTTCTCCTAAAATATTATCCAAAGTCGACAACATCCTTACAAATGTTAAAAAGAAACACAAGGTTCGAGACTGAAAAGAAGGGCATTTCGGAATAAAACCAAACGAAATTGTAGACAGGTTATCAAAAACAGCTATTGCATCAGGAGAAGACATCGAACAAAATATAATATTAGAGCTAAATATTATTTTCCGTGATATACTAAATAGGCACTGGCAAAAGAAACGGTAGGAAAGTCAAATATGATAAAATTACAAACAAATAATACAAATCCCAAAAAAAGTAATGATACCAAACAGTGTCAAACGGAAATTTATTTAAACAATATCTTGAATTAGATCAAATGTTACTTTGTACTCCAAACGTCCATCTTATCATGCATGTAATGATATTAGAGACTTGCAACATATTATCCTGGATTGCTCTCAATCCGCAACACATCGAGGAGAATTATATCTGAATCTCGCTAAAATAGATATAGAATTCCCAGTAAATATAATCTATCTTCTTTTCATCGTAAGCGGTGACAGTTAATAAACCACCAATTTTAATGCAAGCAGTAGCTGTATTGTTGAAATAAAAAACAGTCTACAAAACATTCAAACTTTAATAGTCGCCTATTGGTATTAGATTATAAAAGAGCAATTAGTCCAATTCTTCAAATACTGGGCAAACTAGAAAAAGTTGGAAATAAACGGTTTCCTTTGGCTGTACTTAATAATAATTAGCGGTGCTACAAAACTGCATTATTAAAAATATAGTTTTTCTGCTATTTGTAGGCAACTCTTGTCAAAGTAAATGTTTATTAGTGGATTTCCTTTGTGCCATTAAAAATAAATGAAGTTTGTAAACATAATACAGGGTGGCCAAATGAAAACGAAACAGAGACATTTTCAGGAACTGCGTCAAGATTGTAGAAAAACGCTCAGACCCATCGATTTTAGATTAGGGGGACATTCTTTGCTGGTATTTTTGACTCCGCCACTTTCACCCCCAAGCAAGGGTAAGCGTAACCCCAAAATATTTAAATGGCAGGTGGAGGGTTGAGTAATATTTCTTTTGAAAGCTCTTACAATTCTCTTTACAACAGACTTTAAATTTTATAATTCCACCTTCTTCATCTTGAATTCCGCCTAATACTTATTAAGAATTTTGATTTTAAAGTTGAAACTTATGTACAAATAATTAGTAATGGTAAAAATGTCAGTCATTCGAGTTAAGTACGCCAATGGTATAAATTTAGTATTTCTTGCGTTACATTGGTTTTTGGCGATTTGTTATCACATTCGTAAAAAAAACACAATTGTAAAAAACAGAGATGAATGCTATACACACACAATGAACGTAAAATTAGTGGATTCCAAATTATTTTCTAGTATTATTTGGAAGCGTTGGTTGGTAGTTTATTTAATTGTGTTTTTGAAAATTAAACACTATGGTTTATTCCATTGCGGAAAGGGTAGATATCATTTCGCTTTACTTTATGAACAATAAATGTGCGAATAGAACAGCTCAGCTATTTAATGAACAACATCACGATCGACATGTCAGGAGGAAGTATGTTCTAGAGTTAGTAAAAAAATTTCAAGAGACAGGGAACGTAGCCAATAAAAAAAGAGAAATTGAAAAACCTATAGTTAATGAAGCTAGTGAAGTTGCAGTTTTGGGACAAGTTCATCTTGACCCTACATTAAGTACGAGGCAGCTGGCATCTGTGTCTGGGATCAATCGAACTAGCATACAAACCATTTTGAAGAAGAATAAATTCCATCCATACAAAATAATACATTTAGTCCAGGAATTTCACGAGGAAGATTATGACCGCCGTTTGCAATTTTGCGAAATAATGAGTGAGCGAGCAGGGAACGATCCACAGTTCCTTTTTAACATCCGTTTTTCTGATGAATGCAGTTTTTTCTTGAACAGGACGGTAAATCGTCACAATTGCCGCTATTGGTCAGATTCAAACCCAAGAGTTTTTCACGAGGTGCATACACAGCAATCGGAAAAATTAAATGTATGGGCTGGAATTTTCGGTGACCGGCTGGTGGGTCCTTTCTTTCTACCTGGTAATTTGACTGACCAAATGTATTTGCAATTATTGGAGGATGCTATTGACCCTGCCTTGACTGATATTATTGGAAATGTTCCAGAGTATGATGAAGATCATTTGATTTTTCAACAGGACGGTGCTCTTCCGCATTATGCGTTAATTGTCCGTCAGTATATTAAAAAGTAAAATCTATAAAACACAGCCAGCGTCGCTGGAAGATTTGCGTCAAAGAATCGTCGACGAAGGCCGTCGAATAACTCCGGAAATGCTTCGGAATGTGCGCGAACTTTTCGAATAAAATATTTATTCTTGTATGGAAGCGGGCGGTCATCAGTTTGAACATTTAATCAACTAAGTAGTAAGTAAGCAACTAAACATAATTTAAATTTTAAAATGTAAATTTTTTTCAAAGTATTGGGCGGAATTATACAATTTAAAGTCGTAAAGTTGTAAAGAGAATTGTAAGAGCTTTCAAAAGTAATATTACTCAACCTCCAATGCCATTTAAATATTTTGGGGCGATGCTTACCCTTGCTTGGGGGTGAAAGTGGCGGAGTCAAAAATACCAGCAAAGAATGTCCCCCTTTAATCTACAGTTCCTGAAAATGTCTCTGTTTCGTTTTCATTTGGCCACCCTGTATATCTAATCCTTCCAATTCTCATTGAAAGAAGACACTATAAACAGTATTTTATTATAAATAATTTAAAAATCACATGTTAAAATTAAATGTTAACTGCTTATGAAACCCTTACAAAATATTACGTACAACAAAAGTATCACATTTAACAACAGCACTTACTGGCTTTGTATAATAAATAAATAACTTAAATATGTTTAAATTAATTAATTAATCTGAATGTCCATGAATCTACTTCTAATATTTTTTTTCAATTATTTTATATTGTACTAAATACTATAACAATGAGTGTGGTCCATAAGAGCCATAAGTGGTGTTACTTATATTCTGAATGGTAATCACGCTAATGGCTTATTGTCTGTATTCGGGTATAACAGTGATAATGTTGCACAACCTGAAATATTTTCAATTTAGTATTACATATGTAATCATAAGTGTATTGTATACAAACCGAAAGCAAGGGACCCAATGTAGAGGAAAGGAGGTGCGCAACCAGTACGGAGCAAAAATGGAAAGACCATATTGCCTACTATCGTCCCCGTCCTCGAAGACATTAGATGTAGAGAGAGTGCCATTGCCCTAAAATATAATTATAATTTCAAATTTGGGTAAGTTTATCTTAAAAGCCGTAGATTTTGGATGGTATTGAAATAAAATATACTTATATCTAAAGCAATAAGAACGCATACCTTAAGTTCGTAGGGAAGAGCTCTAGAGTAATTGTGATTAGAACATTTCCACACACTCCTGCGAAGGCTAAGAAGATGGAAGATAATGCCAATACGGTATTCGAATTTTGAGCAAAGTATATACAAGTGACACAAGTTCCAGCAATAATAGCCATAGCAACTGTAACAAATGTATTTATGGATTATGATCTAGAACACTAATAGTTTCTTTAGTTATTACCTATCATTTTTTTCTTTCCTAGTAAATTTATCACAGTTCCAGCCAGGGAGAAAATGAGTATGGATGTAAACCCAACTATGATTGATCTAATGTACACTGAAGAATTGTCTAAATTCTATAACGATAAAAATTATTATTGCATACCATCAATTACGTAACAACTTACCACTACACAAGTTGATAAAGTCTTATTTGGCTTACTTAGAGTAGTTTCTAGCATCTCGCACATACTAGAACTGGCACCATTGTGGGTAAATTCGTAGTCATTTATTGTTTGGAATAGTTGAGGCAGCCAAAGTTTCAAGGTGTTTATACTGAAACATATCTAATGAATACCCTGTATTTATTTTTTTTGTATTATTCCATACCCCATGAGCATGCAGAAGGTATTTATGCAAGCATGGACCAGCCTCAGGATGTGTGGTCTGCAGAACAGAGGCTTTACTTTATATAGTCCCTCTATAATTGCTTTCTTTACTTGTTGCTTAACTTCGGTTTTATCACTTGCAACACTTACTTTGTCGGTAACATTCTCTTTAACCAAAGTTTTAATCTAAAAAAAATTTTCAATACATCATTGATTGAAAACCTTTTTTGAAAAGTGTTGATATGTTTTCTTTTGATGATCTGCCATTAATTGATGAAATATAATGTTTTGTCACCGAAAAATTGTTTACTAGTGTAATATATTTACCGGAAATGTATCAATCGGTTTTCCTTTGTTTATCCTGTAGATTAGTTGAAATACTCTTAAAGCTTCTTCATTTCTCCCGGAACACATTAAAAACTTTGGACTTTCTGGCATGAACATCATGAGCACCCCGCTCATCAACGGAGTTAGTGAACAAATAAATAGGAACACGTTCCAGGAGTGAAAGCCTGTAATTAAGAAAAAGTAACAATTTTTTCTCGAGCGTGTTTTATTCACTTTATTACCAAAATAATCGAATAATGTGAAATTCAGGTTTTGCGGTAACACAGCCCATGCTAATAAAGGTAAAATGATATTTCCGAACGATACTATTATTCCTCTGGCCAGTTGTACTCGTGCCCTGTGTTTTGAAGAATGAAACTCCGACAGGTAAGATGTGGCAGCAGAGAATGGACCATTGATTCTAAAAGAAAGGAAATTTAATGATTATTTTCTCAATTTTCAATTCGCCTCTGAATATGTCTATAATTTAAATCAGAAGTCTAAATAATTAAGATTCGTATGCCCTGCTAGAAACATGATTCATATGTAGGCAACACTCAATACACTAGGCGTGAGGCGTCCTATGTAACGTGATAAATAGAAAATAACAGATATTGCAAGGAAAGACACAGAAAAGAAAAACAAAAGAAAATTGATAGATAAAAAACCTACTTTTTGGACACTTAATGACATCTTAAAATAATCCTAATGGATATGATCAACATATGTAGATGATTTGATCACATTGGTGATATTAGAGAACTAACATAAAGATTGAAAACAACAAAAGACAAATGTTGATCACATTAGTTTCAAGAATGAAAACGGTTGGAGAACTGTTAGGTATACAGGGTAGCTCATCGAAAACGTACCGCCAGGCATTACAGGGTAGTAAATAATTTTTCGGAAAAATCCAAAGACAGGTCAAATTTGTTTCTGAGGGGGACAACTTTTGGCTCAAAAAGCATACCAAAATCTTCAACCCCCTAAGTGGGGGTGCTATCCCCTAAATTTTTTCAAATGGGAATGGGGGTCAAGTGGGGGGTCATTAGAAAGGGCTTTTAATTCTCTATACATCGATTCTTACTTTTTGAAAATCGATTCATTATTTTAGAAAATATGCAGCTTTGAAAATACGAACAATATTTTTGACGAGAAATGCGAAAATCGATTTAATTTTACTTCAAAACTTACGGTATTAGTCAAGTAAATGCTGAAAATGTTGTCCGCCAACTTGCATACAATGATACAGGTTGTCTTCAAACCGTTGTCGAACATTCTGGAGCACTTGCGGTGTTACTTCGCGACATACATTAATGATTCGTCCTCGCAGATCTTCCAAGGTATCAGGTGGAGTGCTGTAAACTTTGCTTTTAATGTGCCCCCAGAGAAAGAAATCTAAAGGATTTAAGTCGGGTGACCGAGGGGGCCACTCAATTGCACCTCTTCGTCCTATCCAGCGTCCTGGAAACGTCTCATTTAGGTAATTGCGCACATTGAGCGAGTAATGTGGAGGAGCTCCGTCTTGCTGGAAAATCAGTTCGTGTTCATTGTAAGCAGGGTCGTCCTCTATGATATTTGTTAGAGCTGGGTCGATGACATTTTGTAGTAAATCCAAGTACATATCGCCTGTCAAATTTCCAGGAAGGAAAAAAGGACCTACAATGGAATTTCCAAAAATACCTGCCCATACATTCAACTTCTGGGGGTGTTGGGAGTGTGTCTCATGGAAAATCCTTGGATTGGTATCAGCCCAGTAACGACAATTATGGCGATTCACTAAACCATTCAAGAAGAACGTACACTCGTCCGAAAAACACACATTAAAGAGGAAATTATCGTTTATCGCTCGTTCAGTCATTATTTCGCAAAATTGCAAACGACGATCAAAATCGTCTTCATTTAGCTCTTGCACTAGCCGAATCTTATAAGGATGGAATTTGTATTTTTTTAATATTCGTTGGACACTTGTACGACTCACTCCTGTCGCAGTAGCCAATTGCATTGTACTCAGCGTACTATCCATTGCCACTTGCCCCAATACCGCTATTTCCGTAGGTTCATTTAGTACCGGATTTTCAACCTGCCTCTTTTTGTTATGAACGGAGCCAGTTTCGCGAAATTTGGCCACCAATTCGCGAACAATTTTTCCAGACGCATGTTTCTCAGGATGCCGTTGGTTGAACAGTTCGGCGACCCGATTTCCGCATTCATTGTTTTTGAAAAAAAGCTCAATAATTTCTACTCTTTCTGGAATTGAGTACACCATAATTAATCAATTTAAAAGACTCGGCAGTATTGGTACTCTTCAACTACAAGTCACAAGACAGTTATCTAGCAACTTCTTGTGGCCTATCTAAATACGAAACAAAAAGCGGACAATTTTTTGCTCACCAAAATCAGGCTAAAGAATTCGCAAATCAGAAAAAAAACAGCGAATTCTTTTGAAGGAATTTACCAAGCTAATACCGTAAGTTTTGAAGTAAAATTAAATCGATTTTCGCATTTCTCGTCAAAAATATTGTTCGTATTTTCAAAGCTGCATATTTTCTAAAATAATGGATCGATTTTCAAAAAGTAAGAATCGATGTATAGAGAATTAAAAGCCCTTTCTAATGACCCCCCACTTGACCCCCATTCCCATTTAAAAAAATTTGGGGGATGGCACCCCCACTTAGGGGGTTGAAGATTTTGCTATGCTTTTTGCGCCAAAAGTTGTCCCCCTCAGAAGCAAACTTTACCTGTTTTTGAATTTTGCCGAAAAGTTCATTACTACCCTGTAATGCCTTGCGGTACGTTTTCGATGGGCTACCCTGTATAAAATATTGATAACAAAAGATTGAATTAGTACCTACGCGATTAAATTGCTATAGAATAATTACGAGCTTAATTGTTAAATACGAGTGAAAAGCAGGTTATTTAAATTAAAAGGAAAATAAATCATCTCGAAGATTTTAGTTAAGCAATTGATAATAATTTAGAATCTTTTAAGAAGAACCGTCTTGTGCGCATCATGGCTTTAGTGACAGCAAATTGAAATTAAATGTCAGAATAAATAACAGGTTTCACTTTGATACCTACATAAAACCTCCAAAAAATTTCGCTATTAGCAGCATAGCGAAATTCTGCGAACACGAGGCCATCAGTGTAAAAAATCCGTCCAATAAATATCCAATTATCATTACTTTCTTTCTTCCTATGGTGTCACAGATATATCCCCAAATAAATCCACTTGAAATCATACCTAAAATGGAAGGTGCCTTATTTTAAAATAACTAGGTATGTGCAATAAACTAATGCAAATTATTTTAAAGGAAAAATTTTACATGATAAAGCAAATTCTCCAGTTGGCAATATTGAGGGCGACTGTTTAAAAAAAAAACATCCTAAATTTTAATTTATACATGGAAGGTATTTTATTTTCAAATATTTACTAAGCTAAAATATCATAGAGGTGAATATTATTCGGCAACATTGTTTTAATTGATTCTTTATAAGCACTTTACAGATTCAAACGAGTTTCGTTCGATTTTGCTAATTTACAAATATTTCAACCAGTACCACTGAGAGCCTCATAACTTCGACGTCATTGAGTATTTTGCAAACAGGATTAGTGCTTCCTGTTGCCAATGGAATTTCTAAGAAAATGGATATTATGGTTTCTTCTTACTGTTTCTTCAAAGAACAATCAGGTTTTTTTTTATACAGGGAGGTCCAGTTTCCGTTGCGGAAACTTCAAGGATCGACAGATATTCAAAAAATAATATGTGTGCTTAAACTATTATGAAAAAGCAGTGGTGAACCAATTTTTTCTATAGAAATATCCAGTAACGTGCTAATACGGACGCCTCTGACAAAAAACTAAAAATAGTGATTTTCATTGCAAAAGTGCTCCCTCGAAGGTAGTTAACGTCTACAAAATTTCATTGAAATATCTTTGATTTTTTTAAATCAATCTTGAACCCCTTGTATCTATTTCCTTAACGTAGACCAGGAAATATAGGGGTATGCATGCATGAGGCTGATTTTTTGTGAGCAGATAGTAAAAATAGTGTAGAATAATATGTATAGTATCCGCACGTTGAAAAAGGAGGGCGACATTGTTTAAAACATGCCGTTTTAATAGAAATTCGCGTTTTTCGACTGTAACTTTTGTTTTATTATTATTATTATTATTATTATTATTATTATTATTATTATTATTATTATTATTATTATTATTATTATTATTATTATTATTATTATTATTATTATTATTATTATTATTATTATTATTATTATTATTATTATTATTATTATTATTATTATTATTATTATTATTATTATTATTATTATTATTATTATTATTATTATTATTATTATTATTATTATTATTATTATTATTATTATTATTATTATTATTATTATTATTATTATTATTATTATTATTATTATTATTATTATTATTATTATTATTATTATTATTATTATTATTATTATTATTATTATTATTATTATTATTATTATTATTATTATTATTATTATTATTATTATTATTATTATTATTATTATTATTATTATTATTATTATTATTATTATTATTATTATTATTATTATTATTATTATTATTATTATTATTATTATTATTATTATTATTATTATTATTATTATTATTATTATTATTATTATTATTATTATTATTATTATTATTATTATTATTATTATTATTATTATTATTATTATTATTATTATTATTATTATTATTATTATTATTATTATTATTATTATTATTATTATTATTATTATTATTATTATTATTATTATTATTATTATTATTATTATTATTATTATTATTATTATTATTATTATTATTATTATTATTATTATTATTATTATTATTATTATTATTATTATTATTATTATTATTATTATTATTATTATTATTATTATTATTATTATTATTATTATTATTATTATTATTACATAATAGCAAGGACAGAGGCAAAGCCTATTTAGTCCAATAAAATATACAAAATGACAGTTAACAGCTTTTAGAGTAACAGTAAAATAAATAGCTAACATAAAAGAAAAAGAACAAATAAGTATGTGAACAGAATACCAAAATAACAATATAAATCACAGCTAACTAGCGAAACAGGCCATAAACCGCACACGAAAATACACTAGGCGCGCACTCAATGTAAAAATTCTGATGACATCCATACATCCAACCTGTTCTTGAAAGAGTTGACCGATGGGGCAGTAACAACAGATGAAGGTAGGCTATTCCAATGGTAGAACACTCTATTTGGGAAGAAATTTTGACGCAAAGACGTTTTGAAGTTTTCTCTCGATAATTTAAACTGATGACCACGTAAACGCTCATCCAAATTTAACCTAAATAGGTCTCCAAAAGTTAAACTGTATTGATTATTTATAATCTTATACATTTGGATAAGATCACCACGAAGACGTCTCACATTAGTACAAGTAATTCTCAAATTATCCAAACGGTGATGATATGGAAGAGATCTAAATTTGGGGATCCATTTTGTGAATCTTCTCTGCACGCTCTCTATCAGATTAATATCTTTTATCTGACAATTCTACAGAGAAATGGTAAAATACTTTTTGTTCGTCTTTAAAAGATCTACAAAACGATGTCTCGAGCGTCAAAAAATATCAATCCGGTCAAAAGTTACTTGCAAAAAACCGCCAATTATGCCATTTTAAATAAACAATAATAAATCGCGATGTTATCACAGAGGCTTCTTCGGATAACACTCAATCATTCCTCACTGCAGACAAATAATTTATGCGAAAGCCGAAATCCGTAAGTGGATTATTTTGCGAGTTATGACCTTATAAACAAATTAACTAATTAACGATCTGTACAAATCTGAGCGGTACCCGAAGTCGCGCCAATTTTTTTGTTGGTAGATTTAACAAAAAGCTATCGAGTTCCATTGTTTTTCCTCAAAAAATGCATTTTTATTACGAAGGGGAATTATTTAAAAAAAATTCCTTAGTTGCAAAATTAAATACGCCCTTAATTTATACATTTTTTTTAGTATTTTATTACATGTACTAAAAGAGCATAAAAAACTTCAATTTGAAAAAAGATTCGTCACGATGCGTTAATAAACAGCGGAGTTATGGGCTTTCAAAGTTGACGGTCTATTGTTGAACAAATAAAGTGCGGAGCGAAAAAAAATATGCACATAATCAGCATCCGGAGTGCTTTCAGTACAGTAAATATTAATTGTACGGACGAGAGAAGTCACATAAAACAATTTTCCCGCGTTTCTCCTCTCAACGCGGAGTTGACAAAAACGGCGCGTTTTAAGATACTCTGAACAGAGTTACTACGTTTATGCATTTTACGCTCGTTTATGCATTTTACGCTGGTTTATTTCGCGTTGAGAGGAGAAAAACGCGTGCATAAAAGGGGTCTAAGTGTTACTTTTCTCGGGATCTGTGAAAGATAAAATAATAACTTTTTTTGGGAAGATAACTGCTAGGTGATTTGTCAGATATGTCTAAAAACCGATATTTATTGCGTTTAATGCCAAATAAATCTGATTATTTTATTAAGAGTATATACAATATAAATAACATTTCAACAATGTCGTTTTGTAGATCTTTTAAAGACAAATTGTTTTAGCGTGCGGAGACGGTACATATTATTCTTCACTATTTTTACTATCTGTTCACAAAAAATCAGCCTGACCGAAGAATTATTTATTTATTTATTTATTACCTACACTTACTTAACGAGATGAACCCACTTACAGAGCAGGGAAAAATTACATAAGAAAGTTAACACAATAAATACATATGCATATACTATAAAGACAAGAAATCACAGAGTAGATCACAAACAATATTTCACAAACAGAAACACTAAAGAGAACATCAAAATAATTCTTTAATAGTAAAGATTCTAGTGTTAAAGATATCTATACTGTCCTGCACAGCTGTCAAATTTCTACACATAACATATAATGGAGAATATTGTAGTATATTAGTACCTACTACCTGTTTTCAAATAAAAAGTTTCATTAGACCGTGTGCTTATAGAAGGAACATAGTAAAATTTCGGGTATATCCAAATTTCCATTTATTATGTTGAAAAGAATAATAACACATTGCGAATTACGAAACCCAGACTTTTGTTAGCTTCCGACACAATATGATGCACATGATACTTAAAAATGAGTTTAGGGTCAAAATAGATTCCTAAATCCTTAACAACATCTGGTCTATTAAGAAGTATAGTATCAATAACGTACGGAAAATAGACACTATCTTTCTTTCTAGAAAAAGTCAATACATTGCACTTTTTCACATTTAAGGGCAATTTGTTCAACTCACACCAAAGTTTCAGTTTATTAAGGTTCTCCTGCAGTACAACACAGTCCTGTAAAGGACCCCACACTTTTTATATGGAAAAGTGGTTTCAGTCGGGAGGTCTAATTTTTGGTGGAAAAGGTAGTTCTCAACATCCTGAACAAAAAAGCTAATGGGTACAAAAAAATCTACCGTCAGGATTTTGCACTACGGCGCATACAAGGTCGGCACCTGGGTTTTCAGGAGTCGGGTTATTTTTATCAAAAAAGAACGTGTTCAGTGACCGATTATGGAGACATGCATGCGTGGAAGTGTATTGGAGTGAAAAAGTACTATATATTTATATATCCCCCTTTTCTGTGTTCAAAACGAGACTCAAAAATGAGGATTCCGGTCTTCCACACCACCTAATGAGGTTCCGAATAAGGCGTATTAGCTTTTTTATAGTGGTTCTTCGCCAATAGCTCTATANAAAAATGAAAGAAAAGGGTGACCGCCTTTTTCCGTACCCACGCGTACAGTACTATTAGATCGCGTCTGCGATGCCAGAGCAAATGCCAATAATCACGTTGAAATCGAAGTAGTTGAGATGGAATAGTTTGTGGAACATCAGTGGAGTATAGAGCTATTGGCGAAGAACCACTATAAAAAAGGTCGGAACCTCATTAGGTGGTGTAGAAGACCGGAATCCTCATTTTTGAATCTCGTTTTGAAACCACTTTTCCATATAAAAAGTGCGGGGTCCTTTCCTATCTTTAAGTATAACTTCATGTCATCGGCATATAAAAGATGAGGTACAGTGAAATTGTCGACAATGTTAATAAAAATAAGAAACAACAGTGGACCCAAAATCGATCCTTGGGGAACACCCGACAAGACCGAAAAACGGTGTGGAAAGAACCCCCTGTAGCATACGTATTGACGACGGTCACAAAGATAGGAGTGTAAAAGTGTTAGAAAATGAAATGAAAGGCCGCATTTGTTAAGTTCACGTAAGAGAATATCATGTTGTAAGCGATCAAAAGCCTTGGAAAAATCTGTGTATATTACATCATTACATCCACCTGCTCCTGATTATCCAAGGCTTCAGTCAGGTATTGAGTAATACATAATAAGTTTGTTATAGTCGATCGACCCTTATTATGCATGAAATGGTCATTAACTGGCTAGATTTCCTGGTCTAAACTAAGCATTTCTCGAATATACATAGTTTATACAGCAAACTCATATTATTTTTTAATCTCTATCGGTCCCTGAGGTTTCCGCACCTTCCGGTGGACTACCCTGTATAAAAGTGAGCTTAGAACACATTAATAAATATTTTGTAGGAAATAACTAAAACTATTAGTACTACAAAAACGCTTAATGGAAATTTCTTAGGAGTTACTTCCTTAGAAAACTAAAAATGTCCACGTTAACGGTTTCCCGAATTTTCCTCATACCGCGTTTGCGTTTTTAAAATAGCATTTTCTATAAAAATTTAATTTGTAATAAAGATAAGTAATGGAATTTGTAGAATATTATTTAGCGTCGAAATTCTGAGGCTTCTTGTGGTAGTAATCCTTTGTATCTCCGACACTGGTTGACGCAGTTGTAAGTCAAGCTAGCGGATTCTTACTTCTACTTAGATAAATAAGTGGTCCAAGTTTCAGAAAATGTGATTTTATTTTTTAATTTGAACACCCACGCTCATATGAAAGTTTTTGCTTTTTGTTCTATTACCCCTTTGGAGCATACTTCTTGTGTGTTGCTTAACTTCTAAGCAGTCATACATCGTGCAGCAGTGGACAATAAAAAGTTTCCACCATAAAGTTTTATGACATAATGTTTTGTAGTGACTGGTTTGGACGTACAAAAAATTGTGATGGTAACTGATTTTATTCAAATATTTGACAACAATGTTTTATCATTTATAATGATTGAATATTAATGATTTCTGTGGCACGTAATATTAAATATATTTATTTGCGTCGTGGTTTACAAACCGGATAATATAGTAGTACTTAAAAGCTATGTTAATCGAGTCTTTACACTGAATTTAACACATAGATTACAAAAAGTGGCCTTGGCAAAATAAAATATGATTACCTGCTTCTTGTCTTTTTAAAATACATCGAGAAAAGGAAAATTAGTTTAGGCTCCAATTCTATTTTAACGTTGGAAACTGAAATTTAATGATTTCAACCTAAGTAGTCACTTAAAAGAAGTTAATAGTGCGGTTTATTTCGCCGGGAAACCTCGCGATACGTTATAATATAATCGTTTCTTTCCTACAATTATTTTTTAATAGGGACGAGTAGGTTTCAAACATTTCTAAAAATAATTTTCTAATCATATTCTATTGTAATATAACAAGTAAATATTAATACAACAGACGAGAAACTAATGAGTAAGGTAATTCTGTTAAATGTTTTCTTTTTTAAAAACGGTTTTATTTGTTTACATAGATAAGCGACGCATCATGCAATATTCATTTTATTATTACTTTCAAATCCTTGAGAATTATTTAACAACTGTCTGACCATATTGTAATGTCTGCAAGTCCACTTTAAAAAATCATCATTCATCAGTATAGAGTCACCAAAAAAATTAACTAGTTTTGATTCGAATCAGAATCAAAATGTTGTAAAAAAACAATTTTTTATGTTGTTACAACGGAAAGAGTTTTTCGAGCATTGGTTAAAATGTGAATAATTTTCACTATGCCCCCATTTTACTTACAATTAATAGAAACGCTGTTCTTTACAATGTATCGTACCTGTTTTGTTTTGTAATAAAAAGTTCTATACCTGCGAATGTTATGGCATTTAGCGTTCCTTTGTCTTGTAAACTCAGAGATAGATCACACTGAGCAACGGGTAGAACGTAGGACATTGTAGCTGTTTCAAAAACATGTGAAAATGCAGCAGGCAATATCACTGCTATTAGTATCACGTTAAATTTTCCAAAACCAGTGGCGGTGATGGCAGTTTCGAAATCTGCTGGTTCAGACCCTAAAATAAATAAAAATAGTGTTAGATGCTTTCAATAAGTGCAAAAAATTATGTAACTATTCCAGAAAACGAAAAAAAAAAGTTACATTTGCTGAAGGAATGACAATTTATTTTCTATGAATTAATTTAGAGTTGAAAAACTATTTATTAATTAAAGATTCTTTAAATTTGAAAGATATCATAAAAGTTAATTTTTTAATATTAATAAGTTTTACAGTTTAAATTTTGTTTTGAAAATAAACAGACTGATTTTTGAAACGCTAACTGTGTCAAGTTATTAAACAAAAACGGTTTATAAAAACAACCCTTGACTTTTGGTGTAAGGATTTTACATAATCATTAATTTCTTCATAGGTGGCAAAGTGCTCCAATATACAGGGTGTTTCATTTTAAGTACAGAAACTGCAGGAATAAATTTATTATCAAAAAATAAGTAGTTTGCTGTATAAACTTTTTTCTTTAGGGACGCGGTATTCGAGATACAGGGTGTTAAAATTTACAAAAAAAAAATTCAGTTTTATCTTTATATTCACTTAATTAGACCTTTTATTGAATTTAATATTAACCTCGTAGCTTTAACCAGTGTCATGCTAATGAAGTTTCCGCCCCAGTTTCCCAAGAAAAAAATACGCCACTGGTGTTTTTTTTTGTAGAAATAAAGTTATATTCAGGTACTATTAAAAAACACCAAGAAACATTTTTCGTTAATTTAACGTAACAGTACCTGAATTGAACATAATTTCTACAAAGAACCGCCCGAGGCGTATTTTTTTCTTGGGAAAATAGGGCGGCTACCTTCAATAGCACGACACTGGTTACAACCACGATGTTAACATTACAGTCAATAGAAGGTCTAATTAAGTGAATACGCTGCAGTAAATTTCATTCAGTTCCGTCAGCGTATTATGAAGATATGACAGATTTTTTTTTTGTAAACTTTAACACCTTATATCACGAATACCGCTTCCGCCAGAAAAAAAGTTTATTTATTTATTTTTTGTAATTAATCTATCCCTGCAGTGTCTATATTTAAAGTGTAATCACCCTGTACAGAGAAAAAATATTGTTCTTAACTTAATAAAATAATATTGATAACAGGTATAACAAATATAGGAAATGTAACTAAAATTCTTAACATTTTCTTCACGTTGATGGAAAAATTGAAAAAAATACGACTAGAAAACCAAAAACTAAACCTCCATATCAAATTTGAATGAAATCGTTTCAGCCATTTTTTTGTAAGTAAAAACAAATTTTAACCTTATGTTCCAAAATAAAGCCTTTCGGTGGACTCATTGTAGTAGGATTTTAACATTCTATACAGGCCATTATCTTTTTTTTTATCTAAATTCTTCGTCAACTATTTTATATTATGATAGTAAGTAAATTGATAACATAACGCGAAATTAAAAAAAAAATGTATATCATATTTACCCTCTAATAAATCACTCACCGACAATAAAATTTGCTTTTAAAATCCTTAGCTGGAATCTTTATCTTTACGCTACATTGACACATCTATTTAAAAACACACTCATTATGAAAATATTAACAATTCCGTGATAATTCGTACGGAAATACACTGTTTAATGCTGTTTTAACGCTATTGTAGAGTTATTTTCATGACTTATACATTTATTATGTACATACCTACGTTGTAAACAATTATATAGGCATTATCGTTTAGCGGAAAATAATGCATGTATTTCACAACACCAACCAACAAACATTTTCTAGTAGAAATTAAAAAAAAAATTGTACTTACCATCGGATATTTTGATAATCTTAGCAGGTAGTTCTTGTGCAACTGATTTGTTTTCACAATTTTCAGGAGCATCCTTCGTCATGTTTGTAATAATCTCCTGACACTAATTTCAGTCACTTTGTATTAACAGTGTTCTTATGTTTTATTTAAATACACAGGAAATTGTACCTGCCTTATATAATATTCAAACTTTTATCTGTCTGTTTATCTTCATTGTTTATTTTCATATACCTGGTAGTACACTATGATATATTGTTTATTACTGTCAAACGTATCTGAGAAAAGATTAAAAACACGAATCTTAAGTCAACACTTACACGATGTGTTCCAGTTCTACTAGATGCCGTTCTTTAGACAGAGCTTTTTAATGTGATAGTACAATCTCTATGCACTCACGAAACCTTGAAGCGTTTTTGTTTCTCGATCTTAAATTTTGGTTGAAGTCGGTCAAATATTCAATTTCCGTATTTCCCGTGAAATTGAAGTGTAACCGCAACTACCGACATTGAAACTGACATTTCGTTGGTCTTGTCATTTTCTTATATATAAAAGGAAGGCAGTCGCGGTTGTTTCCCAAATTGTTCGCAGAATTAGTACATCTTCAATATTTCTAATCAAACTTGATTAATTTTCCCATTGTACTATAATCGAATTTAAACAGGAAATAATTACGAGTTAAAAAATCTGTTACACAACTAAATGTATTAATTATGTTCATTAAATTTTAACGCCATTGTATTGGTAAAGCAATTAAAATGAATGTGAAGAAATAAAGTAAAATAACTTGGATATTTAGAATTTTTTTAATTGGTGGACGCAGAATTACTAGAAAGGAAAAATTTGTTGTTAATATCTCTTAGCACACTTACGTTAAGTACATCCAGTGTTCTTGTCACTTACCTACTATACTACACTGGATGAAGCCTGGAAATTTACACTTATCATAATTGTATGTGCACATTTAGCACAAAATTAGCACATTTTAAGATATAAAATACATACATATTTATGAGTATATTATTACCTAACTTCATTTGACACGATAGTAATATAAATAAATATACAGGGGAACTAATGAACTTAATTAAAATTGTTAATTATGCCCCAGTTTTTTCTTATCTCTGTAGTTCTACAAATGACTACGAATTTTAACAATGTTACCAGTAATATGCATTTGTATATGTGTTATAAATTTCAGTTAGTAATAAGCTCATTTCTTTAAGAAAAATGTTGACTTTTCTTTCTTGATTTTTTATTACAAAATATCTCTTTTCTTTATACTAAAGATATACGTACTTATGACCTATTTTTTTTATCTCAATGTGTTATTAAACATTTTAATATAGTATTTATAAAAATATCTAGCTTCGTTAAACTAAAAATATGAAAGTTGGAATTACTGTTTTGGCTTACTGACAGTAATGACTAATCGATAGGTCAATTCAACTGCTTTCTTTATGTCGAAACGTATATATTTTTAAAGTGAATACCACTGACATACAAATCCTTAGCAAACTTTGAAGTGAATGCTTAAGGACGGGATTTTGTACAAAAAATATCGCCCAGCGTGAGTCACGAAACGGGACCCCGGCAGGTGCTGTTCTAGCGGCCAACGCTTCAAGTCTAATAATTTAAACTGCAGCCACATTCGCCCGATTTTTCAGGAACGGCTCCAATTTGTGTGCATACAATCTTATAAGGAAAGAGAGTAAATATTTTATTAATCAGTAATAGATTATCGAGGACAATAATATTTTTTTATTGAGTAGGCAATAATTTTTAGTTAATAAGCTTAAACAATCTTATAATTACTATTCCTTCATTATAAAAACAGAAATACGGTTTTTAAAATTACATGTAGTTTCTTCTTCAAAAGTGACGTTAAAACACGTATAACATGGAATAGTCAACAGTCTAATGTTTATATTTTCACATTAACAATCCGATAATGTAAATTAACTGCTATTTTCAGTAAAAAAAATATATACCTAACCTGAAATATTTTTTTACTTTGACGAGTCGTTTTAACTTAAAAACACTGCTTAATTACTAAAATATATAGAATCTTGCTACTAATTGCGTTTGGAGAATAATATGTATAGGCATAAAATATATATATAATATTACTGTATGTATTTAGTCCATTGAAATGAAGGCTGAACCTCCATTTTTTCCTCTGTCGATCAAACCTGGGCGCAAATATGTTTTCGACCCTCAGGAATCCGAATCCGCAAACATTTTTGACCTAGGTGATCAGGCAAGGGGTCAAAAGGTCAAAAAACCCGTAAAAAATAAGGTTTTTCGCAAATATCTCGTAAACTACGGCAAGTAGCAAAAAAATAATTGCACCATCGTGTTCCCAGGGAAATTACGATTATAAACAATTAAAAAATTTATTTAAGAAAAATTTTTGTTTTTAAAAAACAGATTACCAAGACAATAAAATGGCAAAAAAAATGTTTCAAAAATATTAAACTTGTCCATTTGTTTATAACAAATTTATAAACAAATAACGTTAAAAAGTTTTTAGCTAAGCTAATAAACGCAATATATTAATAGAAAAACAACTAAAATCAAACATTTGGTAAAAAAAAAATTTATAACATTTCCCGGATTTTTCATTTTTTGTTAACTTTAAAAAATCATTATAAACAAATGAAAAAACTTTTATAAACTTTTACAACGGAATCTTGTTTATTATGTATATAAAAAGACCTCCCAGAAAGAAAAAAAATTTTAGATACATTATTTAAAGTTTTACAACAAGTTTTATGAAAGATTAGGACCACGAAAAATTAGTTCATTAACAATTGAATAACTTTAACATAAGTCAAGTTAAAAATTATTTTCCAACTGGGCTGTGTTCCTTCAAGTGTCTAGATGACACTATAATTTATTTAGATTTTTAAATTAATATTGAATACTATAAAAAAATTATTTTGTGTTGCACACTTTGCTTGGCGGCGACGCGACGACGCGGAAACCGCCGCCGCCGCGCGGAGCTATATTTTCAACGTCAAATTAAAATTATAAATAATGGAGCTACAATTCCTGACTTATTTTGCTGAAATTTTCTCCTCTTTCAGGATCTTTTTTGAAATTTCAGCTATCTTCAATATTTTTTTAGTTATAGTTAAAAAACGGAGACTCCCTTTTTTCTCTTCGTTTTTTGTTTATAACAATTGCTATTTTTAATTGCGGATAAATTAAAAAATACTTCTTTCTCTGAATTTAATTCCGAATCCAATGTACTAACAACCATATTTTTAGGATTACAATAACTATTTTTCGCAGAAAACTCACTTCTCGACTAGACTAGTGGTTTCCTTCTTATCGGTAAGTAGCTACTGATTTGTAGATTGAAACAGAAATCTACCTGAGCCAGACCAATTTTTAAGCTGTAAATTTATTTTGAAACTACCAAGGCTACAACATAAATAACGATTTTATGTGGGACACCCTGTACGTAAAATTTAATCTTTATTCTTAATAAAGAAAAATTAGTACATATTATTGGTTTTTTATGCGTTATATTTTCGTACTACTTAAGCTTTACAAAATCTTATTACTTAGGTACCTACCTACTTTTAAAATATTACCCATATTTATATATCAAAGATAATATCAGACCATTATGGGTCCCATATTCTGTAAATAGTGTTTTCCGCAAAGACAAATAATTTCAAACATTTAATAACTGAATAATCTAAAGCTTATCAAATAATAGGAATGTTATGTCATGCCACCTGAGTATTTTCAAAGACGCCGGCCGCAGTAAAACGAATAAACAGGTGCAAAAAACGATCAAACCATTAAGGTTTTAGGTACTGAAATCTACGAAAATACTATCTTTTTTATATATAATTCCACATGTAAATATTCTTATAACATTTACTTGCTTAGTCCTACATATAAAATTGTTTACTTTTTATAAGTACGTGAAAATAATTGTTAAAATGTGGGGTTAGGATAATAGCAAACGCATGTTTTGCAAACGCTTTTTTTTAGTTATTATTTTATTTGGGTAAATTTAAACGGTAACCATGAATAAACAAAACATCAAGGATTTTATTTTTGTGCTTACCCCTACTTTTGTTCTACACGTTTTACTTTTAAAGATTTCAGTACCTAAAAACGCCAGAAATTTCACTATTTCTCGGCCAATACAATTTACAATAAACCAACTCTGTGTTTTCGCTTTCATTTTCAAGGGTAGCGACACCTGTGACAGAGTACACAAACTAATTTTATTTAGAAATTCTTGTAGAAGATAGAAACCGCTAAAATTCTGGTTTAAATATATAATATAATATAATATAACATGGAGTCGTGTGTAAAATGTTGTCATCTTACTTGAGGACACAAATTATAGAATTGTTAATAAATATTAATCTGAAAATTAAATACAAATGATCCTAAGTGTCCGTTCTAGTGAGTGAAGTAGTTTGGTTATTGTGCCTGACCTAGTTCCGTCGTAAATCCAATATATTGGCAGACTAACAGTATGGTTAAAATTGAGGTACTTTGGCATTTATTTAAATTATTCTTCTGTTCTCATGAGCATTGAAATTTATTTCACTCACTAGCGGGAACCATTGCGAATACATTGATATATAATAATATTCAATTATGTTAGTTTCTTCGATGATTTGTGTTCTCATCTGAAGCTCTGTTACATGGTAAAAATATACATACTAAATCGCCCCCTTAAGTTTAGATTATTACTATTTGGTAGGAGTAATAAGTCAAATATTTATAAATAATAACACAACATTAAAAGAAACTGAAATTCTCAAATAGAGCTCTTTAAACAATGCAATGAAAATGGAAGCAAAAATGACAGAATTGACGGTGTTATTATTTTAATAGTAGAATCGAAGATATGTCGAAATTTCATGAAAACCTTAGTAGAGTTTTTGTCAGTGGGTGGCCCCTAAGGGAGATACAGCCCCTTGAAGGAATAACTCAGGAAGCAGTTTTTATTTTATAACTTCAAAACGGTTTAATATTAAATCACGAAAGGACCTCGCGCAAAATGAATGGAAATTGGGTCCCGCTAGATTTGACTGGAATTGTGATATGTTATAGTTCTCGATATTCTGATCAAAAGTTGTCACGGGCCCAAAGTGATCCTATGAATAATTTCAGAGATATAGAGGGGGGAAGTGTGTGATTTTGGCTGTAGGATTGAGTAAGCTTCACGAAGATTGAAGTTGATGGATTCAAAAACTGAAGCAATGAATTTTGACCAGTAGGTACAATGCTTTAGGGATCGCTGAACCTGAATTCTTGGATAGCTTAGCTATCTAAGGTCACCTGGAGGTCAGGTAAATGTCCTTTCAAGGTGAAACTGAAGAAAAAACTTGTATTGAATCTGGAGATACCGTAACCCTAAAGGTCGCCTTTAAGTCAATTCAAGGTCATTTCAAGATGAAACTAAAGAAAAGGCTTCTATTGAATTTCAACCAGTGCGTATATAAGTTGCGGATAAAATTTGTAAAAAAGAAGTTGTAGAAAATAGCATTTGCAACAACTTAAATTCTTACCATTTTTGTTGTAAAGTTGAAAATGGCCGAGATATTGAGCAAAAACGATTTTTCCTTAAATTCAAGATGGCGGCTGATGCAGGGGTGGCATTCAGTCGCGATTCTGAATTTACACTACTATTGACCCCTCCTAAAGGTTAGAACAATAAAATTGTGGTCCCTAATTTTTTCCAGGGTAAATGACAACCCGACTGGACTATACTTATATGTTACCGTTTTCAAATTCGTTGACACCTGCCCGCCGCGGATAGATGATCCGCGCGGATTACTCTGTATCTAAACTAGTAGCCCTATAATAATTTAGTTTATAATATGTTTATTACAGCATCTAAATTCAAATTTCTTAGATTGGAATATTGAGTAGGTAATCTAATCAGTAATTGACATATACTTGACACCTCTGTTAAGTGTCATAAATAGTAACTTTCTCATGGCACAATTTGATACATTTATTTTCAGCAGGAATTTTTGAGCAAGTAATGGTAATACAATCTTAAAATTTCGTGATTTAATATTAAACGGTTTTGAAATTATGCAATAAAAACTGTTTCCTGAGTGACCCCTTCGAGGGTATCTACCTTAGGGGCCGCCACTAACAAAAACTCTACTAAGGTTTTCATCATATTTCGACATGTTTTACATACCCTTCAATTTCGAGTACTCATTTCGTTAACACCTTGTATAATTATTCATTTTCAAAAAGAAAGTTCACCTGAATATTCTGACGAAGACTATGAAGTATATTTTAGTTTGTATTTTTTTAATATTATTTTAATTAAATATTAGGTGTTATATTTTCGAAAGTTTTTTTTTAATTAAATTTTCCTAATACGTATCTATAATGTATGTAGATTTTAATGAAGAAAGTGAAACGGGTGTTCTAAATAAAATATGAAAGAATTTATGGAATTAGGCATAAACGCCTCCGCTACATTTTTAAGGGACTTGCATATAAAGGCTTACACACACAGGCTTATAATTAAAAACTGTACATTTTTAATTGATTCATAAAGTACAGGGTGATTCACTATATTTTGACCCCCTTTAACTTAGTTATAGTTATAAAAGAGTTATAAAAAAATGTCAAATATAAAAGTTGCACGAGTTTTTATGAATTTTTCGAAAATAATAGTAGAAAAACAAATGAAGTCCAAACAAAATGTATATTTTTATATATTTGGATAGAACGTTCCCTGTCGACCATAGTCATGTAGGGTTTGTTGGGTCCATCGCTAACAATAAGCGAGATACTATTAAAAAACGAAGGTTTTTTATTAAGAAAATAAGACATTAGTAATTGTTAAATCATTTTCAGGCATTTCTGCTTTTTTCCAATTACGTAAGGATTTACAGATTTTAGTTATAATATATTTTTGACAGGTATTTTAACGAAATCTCACTAATTAGGCCGTGGATTCCTAATTACTCATGGACAATGTTATATGGTAGGCCGTGACAATGACAGGTAATGTCATGACAACATTGTTATTGTTTGACAGTTTGTATTATTATTTAATTAAAATAGGTTACACAGAAGTAGAAAATCAAAATATTATAGGAATTAAAATAGAGCAAAGTTCTTTTCCATATTCTATTTTAATTCTAAATAATTTTCTACTTCTGTGTAACTTATTTTAATTAAATAATAATACATATTATCAATCAATAACAATGTTGTCAAGACATTACTACCTCTCACTGTCACGACCTACCAAATAAGGTCCATGAGTAATTAGACCTCTCACGGCCTAATTAGTGTGATTTCGTTACATTAACTATACGCATTTTGGACCGCATTAATGTGCGATATATCAAAATATATTATAACTAAATCTGTAAATCCTTAGTAATTGGAAAAAAGGCAAAAATGCCCGAAAGAGGTCTAACAATTACAAGATGTATTATTTTCTTAATAAAAAACCGTCTTTAATTTTTTTTTAAGTATTTTGCTTATTGTTACAGATGGACCCAACAAACCCTACATGGCTATGCTCGACAGGGAACGTTCTATCCAAATATGTAAAAATATACAGGGTGTTAACATCCGCGGACATTTTGTTTGGACTTCATTTGTGTTTCTACTATCATTTTCGAAAAATTCATAAAAAATCGTGCAACTTTTATATTTCACATTTTTCTCTCTTAAAACAAAAAAGTTAAAGAGGGGTAGTCAAAATATAGTGAATCACCCTGTATACAGTACGGGCTTTTGTGTGGAATAGCATATCGGGTACCTAAACGGCCTCTACGATTTTGCTGGCATATCGCACTCTTTTGTCGAAATTCCCCTTGATATTTTTTCATAAATGCGGCTAAATTTCGTTGATACAACGCTCAATTTCCTCCTTCAAGGTGTGGGCGGTTGTGGTCCAACGGCATTAAATCGCATGATCTTTGCGGCTAATACTGATCACTAAAACTGAAAATTACATCCATATTTTGCAATTTAAGCAAAAAAAAACAGGATTATCGCGATAGCGAGAACCATGAACTATTATTGCCGCATATTTGAAGAGTGGTTCGATGATGCCTTCAGTCCAAACAGTTACACGTTGTGGATGCTTTTGTTTCTCAATAATCACTCCTGAACCACAAATGCGACAATTTTAACTGAAGATGATTTTGTTCGAAAAATTAGCGTTCACTTGTAGTTCTATAATCCATACCAATTCCACGCACTCTCTTCACTCTGTGTTGTCGGTAAGTTTCAGTTCTTGATTCAATTGAACTTTAGAAACACGAAGATTGCATTGAAAAAGACTAAACCAAAAAATACGAAAGGGTATGACGGGATTACGGCGTTCTTGCTGAAGGATTGTGCATCTGTTTTGGCTTATCCATTGTCTGTACTCTTTAATTTGTCTCTCACAACGGGAACATGTATAGGCCTATTGCTATATTAAATAATTTTAGTAAAAAATTTGAAAGACATATTATTTACTCATGTTAGTAATAATAGTGAAAAGGGGCGGCCTCAGCCTGGCAGTTAGGCTACAAGTGGTACCCTTTTTGCCTACTCCGCCGTCCCATCACCTATTCACTCTCAACCTCTGACCCTCCTTGAACCTACTCGACGCCCTAATGAACGCCAGGATTTTGGTCCATGGAAGGTCTCTCACCTCAACCCCTTACATCTCTTCAGCACCAAAGACTTTATGTCTTATTTTCCCAAACGCTGCACAATGTCCCAGAAGATAGACAGGGGTGTCCTCCTCTTCTCCACATTTCGGGCATAGAGGGTCCTCCTCAATTCCTATTAAACTTAAATGCCTCCAAAGTCTGCAGTGACCTGTCAGAACCCCCACCATTTAGTTCGACTAAGGCTCAGCAACCATCTCGTCTTAGGTTTGTTAGGTCCAAGTATAAAACTATGGGCCTGCCTACATCCTCCATTTCTCCTCCAATTCTGACCTAAAGTTTGATATGCCCATTTATTGAGGGCCCCATTGATGCTACCTCGTGTGATTCCTAAGATTGGTTCAGGTCTCTGGCCAGGTCCCCTAGATCCGAAACGAGCTAATCAGCCGTCTCGTTACCAGGGATACCCATGGCCTTGGACCCAAACTAACTCTTCGTCTGGCCAATGACTCTAGAGCCTCTCCACATTCCTGGAGAAGGGCAGACCTAGTCCTCGGGGAGCTAACCGCTCTGAGCGCGGTCTGACTGTCGGAGTAGATAAAAATCTTCTCCCCTACACAATTTCTTACCTCCTCCTTGCTTGCTACCATCAAAATAGCAAAAACCTCAGCCTGGAAGACTGTGGCATTTACTCATGTGAAATCACAAATATGTATTGACCAACATGGACTTATGCCGGGTAGATCAACTGTAAGTAATTTACTTTGCATCACGCAGTTCACCTCAGATAAACTTGAAACTGATGGTCATGTCAGTTATGCAGATTTCTCTAATGCAATTGACAGGCTAGACTACGGCATTCTGTTGCAAAAATCTAACTTTGGACTCAATAAAGATATTTTGAATTTTTTTAATTCATGTTTAAATAATAGACCAGTTTATCCAACAGGAGGATGTATTGTTATCTAGGTTTAAATTACTTGAACTAGTGTTGCGTCGTAAACATTATTCGGTTTTGTATTTGTATAAATTGTTACACAATCTTAGCACTGCCAAATTTGTCCGCCCGCTTACGTTCGTCTACTTTTCGTTTATCTAATCTTAAAATTAATGCACATTCTAATTCTCCAATGTTTATCAAGTGTAATAAACATTTTACTATTCAAAATAAGGTTGATATTTTTTTGCTGCAAACCTACAGACACACGACACGCATCTTTCTCTGATTAGTTTTAAATCTTGATTTTATGTAAATAATTGTAGTTGTTCTTATTTTAAGCTCTGTAGGTACATTATGCTCGTTTTTTTAAGGATTTTTTAAATCTGTTAACTTGTATATTTTTCTTTTATATATTGTGATTTGTTACATATAATATTGTATTTTCTGTCCTGTAATTGGATTTCTGTCTGGACAGTGTAGTAAATAAAAAAAAGATGGAAATATTTCATGAAAATACGCTGTAGAGTTTCTCGAAATTTCCAATTCTTGACCACAGTACCGAATTGATATTTCTGAACTCTCAGCAATACTTTCACGAACTGCTTCGATGTTTTGTATTGAACGACTTGTTGAAGGACGGCTAGAGTGTTTAAGATCGCTAATTGATCCAGTCTTCTTGAATTTTTCAATTAATTTCATAGTTAAAGAAACTTATTTTGAAACGCAAAAATCAAATACCTATAATACACTTTTATTAATATTTAGTTTAATAATTAATACAAAGTATTACACAAATTGTTTTTATTGGAATATACGTACTACAAAATAAATACAAAAAAATATGTAAAATATATAAAAAAAAGAATATTAAATATACTTATTTCTAAAGAGATACAGGTACATCAATTGATCTAGAAAATTTTCCATTTATCAATACTTCTGAAGGTAGCAGCAGTATTAAGGTGCACTCTTCTGTCACTGGACGAAATTACTTCCCAACTAACATTTCTAATGAAGAACTATGTAATTTTCTTTTCTCGGTACAGCTAAGCAAAGCAGTCCACTTGCTGAAAAATATATTAATGTCAACAAATTTGTTAAAAAAAGACTGAAATATAGGTACTGAGGAAATAGAAAAGTCTCAATCACTTGTAGCAATGATATACCTATCTAATAGTTATAATATCTTATCACGAGATTAAAATTTCAAACCAATCTGAATAAAATAATGTGTCAGTTCATCTAATTGTAAGTAGATTACATACCTTATTAATTAGGTCTAGGTATGCTTGTAATTAGTTTATCATTATCCTTTTTGACATCTTATTGCAGGCCACTTGTACCTCAAGAAGAAATGCTACAGATGTCGCGACATTTATTTATAAGTTTAATAAATGTTTAATAGGGAAATCTTCTCTTTACGGACTCCTCTGAGTAGTATCACTAAATAACTGACAACTTTGTTTTCGTGGGATTTTATAATTTTCTTATTATTACCATCTCTCTTAATAAAACCATAAAACTTTAACCAAGACATGAAAGTATGTGTAAAATTACGAGACGTTAATGTATATGTATACATACTAACTAATATTCATTTAATTCAGCCAAATGACTTGGAATTATTTGGTTTTATTGCACCCTTACGTACTCTTGTTTTCCCTACCGGTCAGCTATGTACATGTGACAAATTGTAATTCTGGGCAACATATAATCAATGCAAAATTAGCTATTCTAAGAGAAGTTAGAGGTGTGTGTGTGTGTGTAAGTTATATAGGGTGATTCATTAACAATGGGAAAGTCGAAAGCTGACGATACTACACGTGAAATGGTGTCCATAGGCGTAAACATGCCTTATCCGAAAGTTGATAGTTTCGGAACTACAGGTTGTTGAAAAGTTAAAATTTTAAAGCGTTTATTTTCGAGATTATTCTGAAAATATGTAGGTTAGGAACTTGAAAATTTGTGAAATATATTTTTTTAAGCGACGAATAAGATGCTTATTGCAATTTTAGCGTTGCTCATAGAGGGCGCCACTTACTACCAATTCTACCGAAAATTCAGTTAATAACTTTTTACCCTGTCTGTCTAACATCAAACTTGATTCGAAATCTGAAAGAGCAGTCATTTTTCCATTAATTATGTTCTCTTGTTTTATTTCGGTATCTCGATTCGTTTTCGAGAAAAATCAATTTAACAAACACTATGTTTTGATAATACGAGAAATTAAAAGTGAAACAAACTAAGTGTTTCTTCATCACAACAATTAACAATGAAACAAATGAAATACGTAATAATATTTAAAGTAATCGCTAAAGTAATTGTTCGAAGAATCCACCTTTCACAGTGATACACTTTACACAACCTTTTCTGAGTTTGAAACAACATATTCGGATTGCGTCTGACTTCGTTGGCAAAAACTGCATTTAAATATGCACGCACTGGCCGAGAAAAATACTGTGGAGCTCAGTCGTGCATGAACCACATGTCTCTTCTTAAATATAGTGGAACTTCTTCAAGCCGTGGAAGCATTTTTGCTCGGCCACCCAGAAGTCCAGACTTCAATGCTCTTGATTTTTCTATTTGGTCTTGAATGAAAGATATAGTTTACAAAGAATCTATTAGTTCACGTGAAGAGTTGTGGCGAAGAATACAAATCGCTGCCAACGAAGTCAGACGCAATCCCAATATGTTATTTCACACTCGAAGATCTCTCTGAAAACGTTGTGTAGAGTGTATCAGTGTCAACGGTGGATTCTTCGAACAATTACTTTAAATCATTATTACATATTTAATTTGTTTTATTGTTAATTATTATAATAACATAAAGAAACACTTAGTTTGTTTCGCTTTTAATTTCTTGCATTGTCAAAACATAATGTTCGTTAAATCGATTTTTCTCGAAAACGGATCGAGGTACCGAAATGAGACAATAGTACATAATTAATGGAAAAATGATCGTCCTTTCAGATTTTTAATCAAGTTTCATGTTAGACTAACAGGGTAAAAAGTTATGAACTAAATTTTTCGTAAAATCAGTGCTGAAATTGCAATACGCTTCTTATTCGTCGCTTAAAAAAACATAGTTTTACAAATTTTCAATTTCTTAACCTACATATTTTCAGAACAATCGTAAAACTATCAACTTTCGGATAAGGCATGTTGGCGCCAATGGTCACCATTTCACGTGTAGTATATTCAGCTTTAGATTTTCTCATTGTTACTGAATCACCCTGTATACATATTTTGCCACAGTTTGTATTCATCTTAGTGTTAAATGGATTTCTGAAAATGAAACCATTTATGCAAGGAAAAATAAATGTTATTGTGGCCAGCAAACAACAAAATTTAAGTGTACAAAAAAGTTTAATGTCATCAAAATGCAGGTTAGAGATATATAGAAACATAAAACTGAAATTAAAAAGCTCTCCTAGAGGAGTCGAAACTTGGAGCAAAATAATTCCAAAAACTCTTGGTTTGGCCGTTGATGAAACAATTTTTAATTGATGCTGTAAGGTACGAAACAATGGTATTTCCATATCTAAACCGTTAATCAAAGAAAAGGGGTTGGAAGCATTTCAAAGTTTGAAGTTAACTGACTTCGAATTTTCCAATGGTTGGTTGGAAAAATTTTATTAAATGCATAAAATTTCCTATAAAACCATGTGTGGTATATCGTTTACGCAAAATTTTCAAAATATTGAAGACTGAAAAGTTAAATCAGAATCAACATTGAGGTAATACGCTGAAAAAATTATTTGTAACGCTGATGAAACAGATCTTTCTTTCCGTCAATTTCTTACGAAAACATTTGTATTAAAAATATATGATAAGTGTGAAAAAGGAAAATCTTCAAAGGAAAAACAATACCGTTGTGGTAAAACATGAGAGGAGATGAGGAAAAATTATTATTATTATTTCAAATAATCTGTAGTTCATTTATGGAAGTGGAGTAATTTCTTCTAATTTTTATTAGAAGTTCATGACCGCCCAAAGATTATATCCAAGAAATTCTAGAAGCTTACCCTTTGAAATTTTGGAATTTTATAGAGTGCTCTCTAATTCAATTTTACAGGAAGATTACAACAGCCGCATATAACAATAGTAATGCCGGACTACCTTGATTTTGCTGAGGCCAACCTCTTGCCTTGACTGCCAATTAAGATATTTCCCTTGTCGAACAAGGAATTAATCACTTCATCACAAACATATATAGATGCATTAATAAGTAGTTATGTTGAGAACTGTGGAAGATCCACGCATGGTTTAAAATTTTAATCACTTACTACAACATCCTGAATGTGTATAAATACTAAAAATAATAAAAATAATAATATTGCAGCTACTGACTGCTCAGTTCACTAAGTCCAGTATAAATATAAATTCTTGCAATAAAAATACAGAAAGTACTCACCAATTAACATAAATCCGAATAAATAAATTGGTATAATACAGTTCAGATCTATTAAAAATCCGAAAACAACATTTCCAAAAATTGCTCCCAACCTTCCTGATGTTGCTGTAAACGCCAGTGCAATCGCCCTAAAACAAGATCATTAATGCAGTAAAATGGTTTCACTAAAAGTAAATATTAACTGAAGTTGTAGTATAAGGACATATTATAACATTGAGTGGTTTAGAAAACAGAAAATCTAAAAGTCATTAAACTAAGGAAGTTCAAAAGTTCAGTTTCTTCTTTAATTACTTTATTCCCTTTTCGTATTTTAGGAAAGAACGCTGATTGGTCGGTTGAAAAAAAATATAAACTCACCTTAAGTTAGTCGGAAACAAGTCTACAACTACACAGAAAAGTACCGCTTCTAGAATACTGGTAAGTGCTTCAAAAATACATGACAAAACTAACGTCTGAGTCGAATTTTGCACCCAATTTAGGGACAGCGTTGCTAATCCGGATAGTATTAAACTGATTACTGGAAATAAAGAAAACAGTATTAGATCACTAAATACTAAATAACGTCACGGCATATAGAATGTTACAGAACATGAATATTTGTTAAAAACTTGGTGGATTTATAGGCATTATTGATCTTAGTCGTTAGACAGTTAATACAATGTTTTTTTTAGAATTAATAGGTTTTAGTAAAAGCTAGAACGTAATAATGGCATTGTTTGTTCTCCTGAAAAACTATTGTTAAAAATGAAGGAAAAACAAGTCAGTGTTTAATATTAAATTTTTTACTATTTAACAGTTTTTTCAAATTACTTTCACCAGAAACGTGTGATTGTTTAATAGGTCTGTAAAAATATATATAGTTAATGACATTCAGCGCGCAAAATTAAAAATTATATTTCCGTAAAGCGAGCTAATATTTCACCATAAAAAAGTTGTTACAAAGAACATTATTGAATTTGATTAAATTTTCAAAACAATGGAGCAGATGGAAACATAGGTAATTATCTATTTAAATGGTTAAATTTAATGACTTTCCGAATTTAGATAAGTTGAGCAATGTTGTTTATTTATCTTCAAATATTATTTGGTATAGATGTACATGAACCTACTGGAGCATGATTACAGCATTAATTTAAGCGTGAATTAAAATTAAATTAAGCCCAGATTTTTTAAAAAGATAAAATAATTAATATCTCTTGAATATCTGAACCATATCGGCTTAATCTTGCACATTCTTTTTATGAAATAAATTAACCTTTATCAAGGAAATCAATAAAATATAAAAAATCAGAGAGTAGTTTTTAATCCTCCTAATGAAGAAGTAACTCTCTAAACTCCTTGCTTTTTGAGATATAAGTGGTTGAAGGTTTTGAAAAATATCACAATTAAGGCTGTTGCGTCTAAAACGATGCAGAGAGCAACTCATGTAGTTATATCTTGGATATAGAAAACACCCCATATAATAGTAGGTATCTGTTTGGATAACAATGATTTCTTTATGGTAGTGACGTACTATTGGTACAAAGTACATTAGTTACAGACACTTCTAAAGTTTGTTATCATTACAACTTTGCCAAGTTATCACAATGTAAATAATGGAAATTTCTGTCATTCATCTCTTGATACACATAAGCAGATTCCATGGAAATAAAAACTATTTACAATGTTAACTGACACATATGCAGATACAGAATTGATATCCTAACAGACAGTATACCGAATTATGAATCACGCACTAGTTTAATGTAAGGAATTTGTCATTAAATTTGCCTGGCAGTCACGTACTTGATATTTGCTCACGTTCTCGCACCGTTTCCACAAATATAATAAATTAAAGATCATTATAAAACTTGTCACCTACACACATTCTAATACTCTTATTGGAATAACATATATTTTTTACGTAAAAAATCTTTATTTGACTGTCTAAAAGAGAACTACAAAAAAATCATAAGCTTTACTTGGCGGCATTGTTACCGAAGTTTATTTAATGTTTACAATATCTTTCTACGTAAAGGGAAAACCTGGTGCAACTTACAATAATTAATTATATTAATATTTCTGAGAAATAAAGTAGTGACTTACCCAACACAGTCTTTTTCCCTATTTTTTTCATAAAATAACTTAATGATACTGATGTGGGAATACAACTTAGTCCTATTATTATAGTATCGAGAAATACTCTATTGTTAATTGAAGAATCACAGGACGTACTGTATATTAGTTCATGCTTGTTGGCATGTTGAGAAACCACACATACGCTTGCTGTCTCGTTTGGATGCTTCAGTTCGTAAGCATTAAATCTGTCAAATATTTCAGGGAACCACATAATCAGGGTGTAGTAGCTGAAAAATATAATTTACAATTAGGTAAATATTTATTTTTAATTTATTACATATTATATATTACAAATATTTTTATATTGTCTATGGGTATGCGTTTTTGGTACACACATATACGGGATGACTCATTTCCAGACGATATTTCGAGATATCTGAGGTCAAGATATTGAACCTGTAAGTATTTTTTTGAAGAACAATAATTGTTACAACTTTATTAAAATTAGTTTTAGGTGTATGCAGTCTGAACCTTTCATTTTATTCAGTTGCATTCTTTAAAACAGTTTCTAAATTTTTAATATATTTTTTCAATTTGCTAAAATATAAAGGAAATCGTTATTCCAAGGGATGTTGATAAAAAAGTATAATAGTCAAAAATATGTTATTCTTTATTTCCATGTTATCCAGACATCTGATGTGAAAAAGTTCCAAAGCCTAAAACTAATTTTGAAAAATTTGCAACTTTCTTTTAAATACTTGAAATTTAAATACCACCGATTTTTCGAAAATTGTTTTTGTTGCTCCAGTTATTGAATTTTTTTTGACCGTTGCTATCACTACTAAGAGAAATTTCTTTTCTAATCCAAGCTTAAATAAGTGTACTACACATTTTCATATGGAACTTACATATTTCTTGGTTTTCCAAATATCGAGTGTATTAAATGGAACAGCTTGTATATTAGTAGAATACTATTAATATTTTCAAATCCTGTTCTAAGTGATCTCTCTTTTATTAACAGTACGTACGTGGCAGGTAACAATTTGTTAAAATTTATTTTTGATGAAGATTTAGATCATTTAAAGAAAAAAGTGCTTATGAACATATGTCCCGAACATCTTATTTTTTAAAGTTTGTCAGAAATATAATATCTACGAAAATTGACGCAGACTAATAAAATTTGGATTGCCAACTGATCTAGATAAAATTAAAAATACAGTAAGTATATTGTGTTGAATATACTAGACCACTCTGTATTTCACGAATTCCATCGATTCATTTATTCGTAATTATATTTCATATTTTGTTCGAAAAACAACTAATTTTCAAATAAATTCATTTCATACAGTGAAATAAATCGGAAATCATTCTGAAACCATAGGTATAGTTATACTGTTCATGTCTATCGAAAAAAAGAACAGTAAAGACCAGTTTTTGAAAACTGTTTTTAAATATCAAAAAAATACGTAAAAACAATTTAATGTTGCATAAATTTGGACTGATTGCCTAATATCCGTAATCTTGGCTTTTTCCATTGCACATGGTCAGTAAATAAAACAAAAGATCAAAGCAAATATATTGCATACGAGGTCTGTTCAGAAAATAACTTTATTATTAATTTTATACATTTCCTTGGTCCTTGTTTTCTTCAGAATACTCCTTTCCCGTGTTCACACAATTTTTCCAGCGGTATTTCCATTTCATCAAGCAGTCTTGGATAGGCTCATTTGAAATGATCTTTAAAGTCTGTGACTAATTTGCTTTTATATCATCAATAGGCTGAAAACGACGTCCTTTAAGCACTGATTTCGTAATTAAAAAAATCGCACAGAGTCAGGTCTGATGAGTAAGGAGGGTGAGGGATGATTTGATTTTTGACACAAAATTGACAAATTGACAACTCGCCACAACTCTGGTACCTATGTTTTTGCGGATTTTTTTCAAATAACCGTTGTAAAACGTCCTGATAGTACACTCAGTTCAATGTTTCACCTTGAGGCAAGAATTTAAAATGTACAATTTCATTAAAAACTGTGAGCATCATTTTGACATTGGTTCGAGACTGACGTGCTTTCTTGGGACGTGGAGATTTCTTGTGATGATTGGACTTTTGTTATTGTCTTTTGAATGAATGTTTCATCGTGACTGGAGGAGTTGCTCACAAGCGTCCAAATGATTTTCTTTCTTTGTTTGGTCATCAGACGGGGAACAGATTTTGCTGCAACTCGATGCATGTTCAATTTCTCAGTAAAAGCATGGTATGACCCAATTGAGATTCTAATCTCTTCTCCAATTTATCTGACAATCCATCGGCGATTTGCACGCACCAGATCTTTGACTTTGTGAACGTGGAAGTCATAAGTTGATGTGGAAGACCTTCCTGGTCGAAAATCATCTTCAATTGACTGACGACCACTTTTGAATAGTGAAAACCATTCGTAATATTTCGTGCAACCCAGATCATCATCTCCGTAAGCTTCTTTAAAAAGTTTAATCGTTTCTGTGAAGGTTTTCCCTAGTTCCACGCAAAATTTTATATTAAATCGTTGTTTCGGAAAATTGTACATTTCAAAAATCGTCACTATCACTTAAACACGTTGCACTCGAATAACAAAATCACGAAAAGTAAATGAGATATCAACAATTCAAGAATATGTGGTTACAGAGAAGGTTATGCTCAACGCAATGCTGCCAAAACTAAATATCTCCATCAGAGCGTAATACAAAAAGTTCGGTTATTTTCTGAACAGACCTCTTATATACATCGTTGTAGTCAGAGGAAATAATACAGGGATGGCCAGAAGTACGGAATAAAATTCATATCTTTTAAATGAGTTAATTTTTTTTTCCTTTTATTTTGTTATGGAAGCACGGAGAGGAGATTTTTAAATAAGTAGTAAGTTTTAAGTAATGTACATTTCTTGAGAATACTGTATTACACTGTCTGTAATATCAATGACTTCCCTGAGTGTAATACGTGTACATGTTTAGGCAATATACAGGGATGGCCAGAAGTACGGAATAAAATTCATATCTTTTGAATGAGTTAACTTTTTTTTAAAACGCCGAAACACGTTAACTGATTTTGATTTTTTCCCATCTTTCGGTTATATAATAATTAATTTTTCTTCAACTCCCTAATCCCCAGCTACCCCTACTTTTTTTTCAAATGGAAACATAAGGCATGAGGCGGCTCGTTGAAAAGCTTATAGAAAACCGAATCCAGCCATACCAAATAAACAAGTTTTATTTTTTCAATAACAAGTTTTTTTTCATTTAGAAATTGAAACAACTAGATAATTTACAAAAATAAACTCAATGTCGCAAATGCTGAAAATGTCCTCCATTCACTATTTGGCATTCTCCAAGACGATAGTAAAAGCTGTCCACAGCATTCTGAATGACTTCAGCTGGTAAATTATGCATCTCCGCCCTAATCTTGTTCTTTAAATTCTCAATATTATCCGGTCTGTCCTGGTAGACTCTTTCTTTCAAATATCCCCAAAGAAAATAATCCAGGGGTGTTAAGTCGGGGGATCTTGGCGGCCATTCAACTGTACCCCGTCTACCAATCCAGCGATTTGGAAACATTTCATCTAAGTATCTTCGAACATCAATACCAAAATGTGGGGGAGCGCCATCTTGTTGGAACCAAATTCTTTCATTCGGTATATCTGGATCAATTTCATGAGGGAAAATCACAGCTAGAGCAGGTATCAGGTCAAATGTTAGGAAATCCAGGTAGCGTGCGGCAGTAAGATTTTCTTCAAAAAAGAATGGGCCCAAGATTCTGTTGTTGATGATACCTGCCCATACATTAACTTTTTGTGGATGCTGCGTATGCGATTCGCATGTCCAGTGTGGATTTTCCTGGGACCAAAAGCGATAGTTGTGCCTGTTAACCACTCCATTTAAATAAAACGTAGCTTCATCCGAAAAAAGTACGTCTCGTTGAAAACCATTATTGTCGTCACACCGTCTCATCATTTCCTCACAAAATTGTAATCGCCTATCATAATCGTCTTCCAAAAGCTCTTGGACAAGACATACCTTATAGGGGTGGTATTTCTCTTGTTTCAGAAACATTCGAATTGCAGTTCGAGAAGCATCGTGATTGCGGGCCAATGAAACAGTTGAAGTATGAGGATTTTCAACAAGTTCTAATGCAATGTCTAATTTCTTTTCTTCATTCAAAGCACGTGCCCGTCCAGTTTTGGGCAAAGTCTGTACTGTACCGTGTTCCTCAAATTTGTGAAATATTTTACTAACTGTCCCTTGCGAGATTTGGTTTTCGGGATATTTCGCATTAAATAAATCGCGCACTTCAGCCTGACTTCTTATTTTGTCTCCACATCCAAGCAATATCAAGATTTCGATGCGTTGCCTTTCCGACAATACCATTGCAATTCAGTAAATAACTTGATTTTGACACAATAGTAACGTTTCGAACTCCAATTTACAACTAAAGCGAAAAATTAACCAGAAAGCCTGGCAAGTAAGTGGTGCCAAAAAAACGCAACATAAAAAATATATCTTTTTTGCGTTAGCAGTGATAGGTACAGTTTCAAATTCTTTATTTTATTCTGTGCAAATTCATGGAGGATAACACTGAAGATAATTAAATTTTATTTCACTTGTTAAGTAGGTGTTTTATACAACCCTAAAAACCTTGCTATTGAAAAAATAAAACTTGTTTATTTGGTATGGCTGGATTCGGTTTTCTATAAGCTTTTCAACGAGCCCCCTCATGCCTTATGTTTCCATTTGAAAAAAAAAGTAGGAGTAGCTGGGGGTTAGGGGGTTGAAAAAAAAATTATTATATAACCGAAAGATGGGATAAAATAAAATCAGTTAACGTGTTTCGGCGTTTTAAAAAAAATTAACTCATTCAAAAGATATGAATTTTATTCCGCACTTCTGGACATCCCTGTATACATATGTACACTGTACCTACTCCATAAGAAAAAAAAAACAGGTTTGATTTATATCTCTGCAACGCAACATAAAATATGCATTCCGTCGTCGAATAAATTGATTTTCATTGATGAAAAACGCCGAGCGGTTGTCTGACCTTCTTCTAACGCGCCTGTATTAAAATGTTAAGAAAAAAACTGAAATCATCAACACCGTCAATTCGTCACAGTGTTTATATAATAACAACTATATCCAGTTCCTTTAATTCTTTCTAAGTAATCAAGTAAAAGTAATTACCTTGCCATCAGTCCAAAGTCGGCGAAGCTGGTGATTCCCAAATATTTCAAATAGGGTTGAGATAGTAATACGCTTAGAAGGTTGCAAGTGCTTCTGCATTTCTTCCTGATGCGGTCTATGAGAGGCATCTTATTGGCAAACGTTAAGTTGTTGTTGTTTTCATATTCCCCTTCAAGAGTTAATACCTAAAAGAAATAAAATTAAGAAAATTTAAAGTGTGTTCTAAAAAAGCGTAAATAAAAATATCAACATAGGTATTTACATCTGAATCCAGTAAATTTTTACCTTTAATTATATAAATTATTTATTAATTATATTAATTCTGCATCAAAGGTTATTACACCCTGTATCTCAAAAATTAAGGGGTACCAAAGATGTACTGATAAGATTTTATTTATATCTATATTTGAGTATTTAAATTAATTTTGAAACACCTGTTAGAGAGAAAATACGTAACGTAATCCATTTACACTTACTGGATACAAATACATAGATTCCCCGCTATTCCGAGCGTAAATCTTCTGAAAAACAAGCCTAGCCTTATCATATTTTCCCTTAGAGATCAAGAACTTGGGGGTTTCTGGCAAAAAGTAAAGCATCACTATGCTGATTAAGCTCGGTAAGCTGCAAACCAAAACAAATATTCTCCATGGGCTGAAATTTCCATGATCAGCAAAAGATTCCAGCAGAGTCTTGTTCAGAAGCGACCATGCGACACCTATAACAGTGAGCATTATTTAATGGGCGATAAAGTAATAATTTGTAATGTTTTACATTGCAAGAAGTAGCTCGGACCAGACTGACTGTTCTAAACTGGAGTTCTTCGTTACAAAATGCCGCGAAAGTATCGGGTAAGCCAGACTGGCAACCTACTCTGCATGAAAAAATTGAAATCATTACAAGTCCTAACATAAAACATAATTTTGAACGGGTGTTATCGAATATCAAAAATAGAGATGAAGCAGGTTCCAGAAAAGTATGTAACGATTTTCTAAAGCTATGTGTTAATTTATCATTACCTGGTAGTATTATTATACCGACGTTCCAAAAAACTTCTAGTTTTCCGAGCATTGAGTCCCTATGCTTCACTGACAAGAATTCTCCTAAATAGGAAAATATAATGCTTGTACCTCCGATGATCCTAAAAAATAAATTAATTTAATGTATAAAATTTTTAATGTATATGTATATATGTATGTATATGTATATGTATATGTATGTATTATTTAATGTATAAAGTAATAATAAACATATATATTCTAGGGATGAGTATTTTTTCCCTAAATATCTGTGTTCTAGAATTTCTAGTACAAAAATCTGTAGATAAATATATGTTGCTTATTCACTACAGTTTTGCACTTAACACAAATGGAAATCCAATTTCTTTGAACAAAGGTATATACTCAGAAGTAATTTCGGACTTTAATATTTAAATTTTCATAACTGGTGTTTAAATTTGCAAAATTGGCATTTCAATCTGCACAATCTGCATTTACAGATTATCTCTTTCATCATATTTTTCTCCGTTTCGTGAGTGGAAAATGTATGCAATATTAAATTGTGCAATGGAAAATAATATGAAGACCTATACCAATATTCGTAAGCCATATCCAAACGCAAATAATATTTTGTCCGAATGCAAGATTTGCATTAAATTACAGGTTATATTCGCGTCAGATTACTCGAGTTTGGACATGATTTTATAAGCAGTATCTAAGGCATCTCTGAAGTTATTGACAAATCATCTATAGTCTGTTTAGAAATGAAAGAGAGTAATAAAAGCTTATTATGTATGCAAATCGTAAATAATTGTAGTACTGGTACTTATATTCAATATTTTTATATTATGTGTTTTCTGTATGGATGAAGTGTACTTTTAAAAAAACTTTGTGCGATCGGACTGTACTAAATTGTAGCAGGTAGCTAAAATTTAATCCGCGACAATCCGCCGCTTCAATTTCTCAGTACATTTCTCTTATAAGTAAACAATATAAAAACAGCATTTCAAAACATGAGGCTACTTTAAGCATCATAACCGGGTTAAGAGGGTTTTTAGTAAGTCAAATAAAATTATTCAATATTATTATCAAAATATTTATTTAAATTTAATGAATAGACTTTTATTCCACACAAAAATATATGTATTTTGAAAATTCAAATTGTGGTGAGTAAATGTAGTGTTGTATAAATGTACAATAAAGAAAATAAAAAAGTAGGTATATTAAAATTCATCCTCTGAATATTCTGATGAATTATCTTCGTCTCCTAGATTGATAACGATAGGTTCCACAGTAACGTCAATTAAATTATCGAGTTCCCACATTTTCTCCTCTTCTTTTTGTACATGATGTATACATCTTTGCCAGTTATCTGCAGTTACTTGTTCCAAGGAATTTTTTAACAAAATTTTCACGTCACTTAATTTAAACGTCGTATTATTTCGCGCTACATCTCCTTTTACCTGCGCCCAGACTAATTCGATTGGGTTAAGTTCACAGTAATAAGGTGGTAACCGTAGTACCGTTATTTGGCGATTTGTTACCATATCATCGATAACATATTTTTTCTGATCTTTATTAAGATTGACAAGTGTCAAAAGTTCCTTTTTCACCATATTTGTTTCAAAAGAAATGTCTTTCCGGATAACCATTGAATTATATCGGCTTTCCTCCAAGCAGTCGTAGGCGTCCGCTCGGTCTGCCGTGAATGGTAACTGGCATTATCCATGACAAGTACAGACCCCGAAGGAATATAAGATCCAACATCTGTGTAAAATACTCTTCGAAAACATCTGCGTTCATGTCTTCGTGATAGTCACCTGTATTTTTAGATTCAAATAAAAGTAAACCGCCACCTACAAAACCACTGGCACTACCTATATGTGTCACTATTAATCTTCGCCCTTTACCTGAAGGTGCCTTGAACCCTGTTGAAAGTCCATCCAAAAATGCTTGTCGAAAACTTTTTACATTTTTATCTTGCCATACTTTTGTTACAGTATATCCCTCGTTGACCCAAGTTTCGTCTAGATAATAAATATTCCTCCTTTCGTCACGGAATTTTCTAATTGATCTTAAGTAGGATCTTCGCCAAACAATAATTTCATCTTTATCGATAAGAACTGACTTCCTGTTCTGCTTTTCCCAGCAAAAATTCAACTCTCGTAAGACGGCCTATAATTTGCTTCTAATGATTTTTGGCAAATCGTTGTCCTCTCAAAGTTCACTTAAAATTTTGTTTAGCGTTGGTATTTCTGTTTTAAAATAAAATGAGTGTACTTTTCTGCGAATGACATTTTTGAAGAAATCATCTATAACGACTTTTGACCACCCTGTAGATGATTTTGGGGGATTTACAGTATCTTGTTAATTTTTTGTTTCCTTTAAAAGTCTGTAGATAGTCGATTTTCCAATCCCTGTCATTTTTGTTAGTATTAGTGTTCCCTGATAATTACCTGAAACGAAATATTACCACGCCCATGGCCGGTTCTTATCTCGGGGTTTTATTACTCTCTTTCACTTCCAAACAGACTATAGACTGGTACAGAAATGCATAACAAACTGAACAAACTAGTGGACCATAATAATTGATTCTAATAAATATAGATGCCGTTGCACTTTGGTACTGAAGGCAACAAAGAACCAGACGAATTAGCTAGGAGGTCTCTGTCAACTTCTTGTGTTGACCCAAAACCTACATGAAAGTGTCAAAAACTACCGTGAGGGGTTGAATAAGGAAAATGTATCAACAGTGGGCATAAGAGAGGGATACTACAATAACTTGCCAAGGAGCAAACATGGTTTGAGCAAATAACCACAAAGAACGAAGACTGAAAAATCTCCTCACAGAGCATTGTGATCTGATCTGAACTGATAAGAACTCAGATATGTGAAACGGAGCCTAGAATGTAGAGTTCCTAGCTATCTATCTATCTACCCACATTTCTGTTCCACTAGTTAACAGAAACAGGGTAACAAGTCCTATGCGAATGTTGCCATTAGGTCACATAATAAGTGAGGGTTATGGATAGTTCACACGACGCACACAATAACATAAGTAGTTCCTACTTACATATTAGTGTGTGGAGATTCTCGAAATATGTTTCTATTCTTGTATCTACGCACATTCCATAAACTGAATATATTCTCTATTATATTCATGATGTGCTCCATACAAATCGAAACAAATATTGATTTTTTGACTGTTTTTTAATTTTTCTTTATTGTAAGGGATACTTATTTTATATAAGAATTGTTTTCCAGCTTAACAATATATTGTTTTACGATATGCTAAAAATATGAAAACGCATTATTTATCTTAATTCTCCAGAGCACTGGAAATGTGAAAAAAATGCACTACCAATATGTATTGTTTATATTTTCCATTTCAAGTTTAATTTTATTTCAATATTAAGTAGTTAGTCACAACTTTAATCAATAGTATTCAATCGTTACAACATGTTTTTAATTACCTTAATAAGAGTAATTTTTCATTATAAATGTAATACCTATTTAGTAAGTTTTCCATTTTTTATTATTATTTAGCAGCCGTGCATAATTCTTTATTTGTACTAGAAGGTTTACTTGCAAAAACAATTGTTATATCATTAATTGCCGTTGGCTAAATGCTCATTATTTAGGCCGACCTTGATATGAAGTCTTTATTTGCCATTTTTGTAGTAAACAATTTTAATACGTACCTGGGTACAATTTTTAATGCATTAATACTGTTTACGCAAATATATTTATTTGTATAATATCTTACACAACTGTTTTGTTTTTGTTTAAAAATTAATAAATATATGTCTTGGATTAAGTTAGTTTGCTTTCCGTAGAAAAATAGGAAACTCTAGTGACCTGTTACTTTCAGAAATGCCATTATTTTATCATTATGTGTAGCCAGATAAGCCTAACATAACAAAATAAATGTTTGTAATATTTATAATAATTAAAATCGAGCATATAATCATTCTAAACTTTTTAAACTTTGGAAAACTACCGGCGCGGCCTTAAGAAAATATTCCTTAAATTTATTACTTCCAGTACCGACTAGAAGCCATCAGAAAGGTCACATCACCCAAACATATCTAATTCCTTCTTAAGTAAGTAAACAAAATGAAAAGATTTTGTGGTTTACATTTATATTTACGAGTAATTTAGTTAAGAACATGCTTTAGTCTAGACTAAGGATTTTATACTGGTTTTTACTGCTACAATAAATATTTGCAAAGAAAAGCATTATTTGAATATTAAGGATATGGATGTTTGGATATTATTGGAGAACTTACACTTACCCAAATCCATTAAAAAATCTGCACATTAGAAAAAGTTCAAAACTATGCGCTGTGGAAGATATGACACCAGCTGAAAAGTCCACACAAAGCGACAGCATTATGGCTATTTTTCTTCCTTGAGAATTTGCTATGGAACCCCAAATAGAGCATCCAAATATCATACCTGTAACATTAGATGAACCTTATTGAATATCCTGTTGGTGCTATAATAATAATTAATTAAAATTTGAATTTCTATTTGAGATATTAGCTAACTTAAAGACAAACATTCCATTAATTAATTGATACAGATGCTATATATTACCAATTAAGGGCATTGCAGATAATTTTCCTTTGTCTGCGGACGTCAAGAGAAAATCGCATTCCGCAGAGGGCAAAACAAAAGATAAGGTAGTCGTACTGATGGCACATGTTGCATAAATCATTCCACATACTCCAAGAAGGATAGCTTGAAATTTCCCAAATCCTAGAAGGGGTAATGTATTTTTAATAAACTCATAATGCAATTGATTTAAATGAATATGTCTTTAACATGTGTAAGAGAAACCACAAAATGTGTATTGAACACGCACTTGGATTTTACAAATTTTGGAAGTTTTATTTTAATGCTAATAACTCCATAAATATTTGTTAATAAGATGATCACATAGTAACAAATTTATGACTGCCTTTAGCATTATTTACTTAACATACATAGTAAAAACCTCATAAATATGTACAGGGAAAGTATAAAACAAATTTAGTAGCAAATATTTAAGTTGTGAACAAGATTGACGTAATGTGAATTTAATTGGAGTAGTTTATCCTTATGAGATCTTTTTAATCCCATCAAAACATTTCAAGCATAATTTTCTCAAAGATTAACTTGCTTAACATACATAGAAGAAACTACAAACATATATGCAGGGAAAAGTATACAACAAATTTTCTAGGAAATTTTAATTGTAAACAAAAATATTATCTTGTTTGTAGCATTTTTAAGCAGTTTTTTTTTCGGTAGTTTACCACACTGTGAATTAAAAAGATAAAAGTAGTGATAAATAGTAAATCGAATCGAAAATAGAATTTGAAAAATAAGAAAAAAATTAAACAAGATAAATAAATTATAAACTAACACATTTTATATTTTAATCAAAGTCAAAATATAGAAGCAAATGAAGAAAATTTTTCGAAACGTTAACAATGTATGTTAAAATATGTTTTTATAGTGACATTGAAAATTTATCACCTTCTCGCAGTGAGATTTCAAAGTAGGCAAAAATATTTTTTTTAAGAACGACCTTAACTGATTCATGTAGCTTAAAGATTTATGTACCATATTTACTATATATTTTTAAAATTTTCTAATTTATAGTTTCACAAAATAGCCAAAAAGGGAAAATTATTTAATAATCAAAAATGATATAACTAATAATGATAACTTCAAAATAACTTCAAAAACAGTAGGTCTCAATGATGTTATCACCTACGAATTTTTTATAAAAATCTCCATCTATAGCTTGCAAAAACATTGAGGTAGGTACTTACTTGCAAAGTGAATAGCTGTCTCAAAATCCGCCACCCCAGCTTTTTCCACATAATCTGAAACACTTCGGTGCTTATTAACCTTTAATTTGAAACCATATGAAATATTAAAATAAAGACATCACGAAATGGTAGATGTAGAAAAATAATGTAGAGTCAGAGGCAAGTTGTGATATGCTGTATGTGTCAATATCATTGGAATATATAAATATAATAAAAATAAATTTGTTATTGATTTTCACACATCTGCAATTATTCAACATACGCAAAATGTAATTTTTAATATTTTGAGCTCTTGAGTTCAGAAAATAAAAGTTACTCTACAAAAATTAGATATATGTGCACAAATTAGTCCGTTTAAGATAAGAAACATTTTGCTAAATCAATTGATAACTAATACAAAATAACGAGAGACTTTAACGATAGATGGTAAAATAATCTTACCGATATCCTGTACTTCATCTTGGATAATAAGCGATTGCTTAAAACTACCCATGTGGTCACTAAGAGACATCTTGAAAGACTGAATCTCTTTAGGTACAAAGATTATTCAGTGAAATATCAATAATCGTTGGATAAATAATTAATACTTTAGGGAGGCATTTTACTCAGTTGACAAGTGATTATTGACTCGATATTATATACGTCTATACAGAGCTATTAGGCCTTGTTTGTCAGGATTGTTATTTTAACCTAATTTAGATAAAATCAGTGGAGGATTTTATATTTAATATGTTTGTTTAACAGTCCTTGATAATGTTGTTCTGGCTTTAAAGATGCACTATTTATCTTCATGAACATTACTAATTTGTGTACTTAACTATAAATAAAAATGCAACATATTATATCAATATTTAAAAAGGCGATACATTATTAATAATAACTGAATTTGTCTATACTATCTTTAATAAAAAAAATAATAACATTATTATATGCGCTGGTTTTAATTGAAAGGCTATCTAATATTTTTAAAATATGTAATTAGCATTTCATTTAAGTCTTAATATGAAAAGTAGCTAAAGTTTACTAAATTGAAAACTCATATAGAGAAAATGAATTTTACGGATAACATATATCCTATCGAAAAACTTAAAATTTAATGTAGTCAAAATGTTAGCAAAAGCTTAAAAGTCTGTGAATATTCTCGTTGAAATGAAAATTTGTGGGTCTTATAATTTTTAGACAATCCTCAGGACAATCCAAATCATCATCTTCTGAAAACCTAAGAGAAAGTCCATTGTTCCATGGTAAGAAATTAAAAAAGGGCTTTATTGGGATAATAATAATGATATTGACAATGATAATGGTAATTCTTATGATAAGGATAACGGTAATAATAATGATAACGATAATACTATTGCAATTCTAAATTATATTATCAAATTATAGCAGAATTGTTTTTTATTCCCTTTTTTGTTTGTGAAAATTTATATCCATGTGTTCTGTAGCTCTGTCAAATTTAGTGGCAATATTTATATTATTTTCGCTTTTTTCGATGTTTCCTTTTTTTTTGAAAATAGCAATTTCTTTCGGATGTTCAATATTTATGGCAATTTTAACCTTTGGTTTCTCATGGCTAATTTATATACATAACTGCCAGGTTTGTAGTATAAAATTTTTTTTAATATACACCTATAAATATTTATGGATGCGTATAACAAAATATATGTTTAAAATTTTCTATTCAAGTTCGTATAAGGTGATTACGGTTTGAATATATTTATTATTATCATTTGTTATGTATTATCTAGCATGTTTGGAATTAAATAGCTCATACCGCAAGAGTGGCTTCCTTGTACGAAAATATACCGATTTAGATGGTTGTTTTTTCAAATACATTGTTCATTTTACAATAAAGGAAGTATTTATTGATTTTTTTCCTACATCTGACCCAATATATCGAAAATATCTTTGGATATGGAGCTAGTCAGCTCTTTTTCTACGCATTTTCTAGTTTCTTATTATGCAGAGTGTCCCAATTATTCAAAACACACTTTTATTTATTTAAATTGGTCACCCTGTAAACTGAATTTTGAACTGAGTCTAATGGGCCGGCCACACATACAGGCTTTACCGCGCGCTTGCCTGCACAAACCAGTTTGTATCGGGAAGCCCTTACGTGTGGCCGGCAAAACGTTATCTCGCACAAACTGAAAAGCGCGGCTTGCATAAACTTCGACTTGCTGAAGATTTTGTTTGTGCAAATTCGGTTTGCACGGTAAAATTTGAGCGTGTGGACGGCGCACGGTGTTTAGTTAAGAGAAATTGCGTCAGAAAACCTTAAATCTTTATATGATCTCCCTGTAGCCAAATATCTGATAGTACCAACTCAATCTTTCATGAGGAGAGATATACAGTGTGTTTCACTTAAAGTCGGGACACCTCCGTATTTAGGGTGGCGTTGGCTGATTTCCAAAATTCTTTTTTTTATGTGGTAGTACTCACAAAGACCTAATTTTTAATATTATATTTTTTGACATGTGATCTTTTCTACGGCCTAGGTAGTATCATTATGAAAACATCCTCAAAAATTAAAAAACATATTAGGCATTTTTTTAAGAAAAAATGGATAGCATTTTCGATTTGATCACACCTCAAAACCCTCAATACAAAGTTTCGTTATTATAGCTTGTACAGGGTGTTCACAAAATAGGTGTAAACTTCGAAAAATTTCACTTATTGCAGTGTCCTGTATTAACAGTGAAAAATATTTTCAAGGTATTTTTTCATAATTTTATTAACCGAAGGTATATCCATGCAGTTTCATTGATTTCACTCATACAGGGTGCTCACAATAGGACATCCAAATTATATATATTTTTTATTATACCAGAAATGTGTTTCACAACGAAATAATATTTAAATATGTAATACTATTTTCTATTAGTCCATCATGCACTCTTCAATTCGTCTCCTCTTATTTTTAATAACTTTTCTCAACTGATGTAGTGTTATTTGTCGAGATGCTTGTCTAATTTTATTACATAAATCTTAATTAAAAATTTAACGTGTTTTGTAGGATTTTATGTGATCAAATAATTAGGCCCTTCTTTTTTTGCGTTAATCTAAACGCGATATTTTTATGAATTTTTTCAATAATGATTTCTGGGATTCAGTACATGTATTTCCTCTTCATGTAAGACAGAACCTCTACCTTCAATTATATGGAGCACTTATTCATAATGCGGTAATAGTAGGTACGTCATTGGTTGAATGAGTATTTCCCGAGAAAGTGGATAGGTCGCAACAGTCCGTTAGCTGAGTGGCCGTCAAGAGCTCCAGACTTGACGCCACTTGATTTTTATGTAATAGACAAACATGTCGACAAATACCACATCAGTGAGGAGAGTTATTAAAAATAAGATGAGATGAATTGAACAGTGCATATCAAATTATGTGGACTAACAGAAAACAGTAATATATAAGTATTATTTTGTTGTGAAACTCATTTCTGGTATAATAAAAAATATATATAATTTGCTTGTCCTATTGTGAGCACCCTGTATGAGTGAAATCAATGAGACTGCATGGATATACTTTCGGTTAATAAAATTATGAAAAATATCTTGAAAATATTTTCCACTCTTAATACAGGACACTCTGCAATACATGGAATTTTTCGAAGTTTGCACCTATTTTGTGAACATCCTGTAAAAGCTATAATAATGAAATTTTGTATTTAGAGTTTTGAGGTGTGATCAAATCGAAAATGCTATCCATTTCTTTCTTAAAAAAATGCCTAATATGTTTTTTTAATTTTTGAGGGTCTTTTCTTAATGATAGTAGGCCGTAGAAAAGATCACATGTCAAAAAATATAATATCAAAAAGTAGGCCTTTAAGTGAAACACACTGTACATATGTACATAGATTCGCACATTACAGTATTTTGTCGGTTTATGAAGGAATCACCAATCCAAGTAATTCAGTATACGCCATTTCATCCATTCTCATATAATTACGCCAATCGTCGGGATCTTCTCTCAAATCCTTCATTAAATTTATATGTGAATGTATATTTCTGTTCAGAAGCCATTTTTTGACCATTTTGAACGATGACGTCTATTTATTTTTTTTTATTAATGTAAAAGGGCTAATACCAAAAATTCTTCGCTTGGATACATAATCCTGAGAAACGTACTGATTGCTGCCTGCAGTGTCTGCAGCCTGCACACAGTATTCCGTGTTTATTGCGCAAACCATACCGTGCAGGCAAGTCGCTGTTGTGTAGCCGCCGCATAAGTTACGCCGTTTTGGTGTTATTTGATGACACCGGATAATTTCTATTTAAATGCGATTTTTCATCATGAACAGTTAATAAATTTAATTAGAAACGGTTAGATTTACCATAAAAGCCGAAAAGCATTTTCTGCTGCAAAATAAAGAAGTACAGAGGATATTAATTTTTATTTTTGTCTGTGACATATACAGACATCGGAAACTTTGACGCGAGAATCAAGTAAATACACAGTAGTAATATAGATTACTATTATTTACTAGCTACTAGTAGCTGAAATAGGTTAAATCTGTGGTCAAGCCGTGTGCCACTCTATGCTCACGATACACATTGCTACTGACTGCCATAAAAACATGTGCCATACACTCGATCAAGCAAACCGTTAACCTCACGTCCTTCAGCAAAAAATCTGAGCTGATAGGGTAGTCATTAGGGTGCCCCTAGATACGTACCGAATTAATTGATCGATGCAAAGCTTCAGATCAGAGGCCAACATGTACAAATGTGAAAATATACATCTGAGATTGCTCAAAAATCTAGTTATTTTTGTTATCAAAGAGATGTCGGCATACATTGTGCGTTTAACGATGTTCAGATTAATATTTCATTTATGAAAGATAGCTGAAGAGTTTCTTCTTTCCAAATTGAAATCTTCACATCTATAATTTCAAAGGGCCTTACTGCATACAGGGTGGTGAAAATTTACACCGAGTTTAGGTAACTTCAAACCATCATAAGTTCTTTTTTAAATAAATAAAAAATATTTTTTCTTTTCTTTGCATTCACTTCAAATTCAGGATACGACTCTCCTGTTGCGAAATTCTGGCTATGGGCCTGATACACGTATTCTATCGCCATATAATCATTTAATTTGTGTTATACGATTATACACATAGAGACCGAATCTGATATTAATTATTATCAATAAAAAAGATTAAATTAAATGGAGCATTTTGGGAACACAGAGTAAGTGTCAGATTACACATTTTTTTTAAATATTGTAATATTAATAAATCTCATTATACCTATATTTTAATGGTTCGCAAATCGAAAAATGACAATATTTTGAGACCACATCTACCTCCGATACTCACTTATTTTTAAAATAATTATTGTACTTACGTCATATTTCATTTGGACCAAATATTTGGGACGCAGCAGTCTCTCAAGATCAAAAATCGTCTTGCACTTCAATTACTGGCAATAACTAATTTGCCTTCCTAATTTAAAACATTTTTTTATCAAGATCATCATTTAAGTTCAAATTGGAGCGTCAAAAAAGTTATTATGCAGTAAATTAATTAATTTGTAAACAAGTAAACAAAAAATGAGGATG